GGGTTCGAACCCCCGACTCGTTGATTCTTAACCATACCTTGCTACTATTAGACCAATGAGCCCCGTAAATTTGTTTATTATTCTTATATGTATTTCTCGGTATAACTATTATACTGCGTTTAAAGTCCAAAAGTATATAAACTTTGTGTATATTATTTACATTCCACAGCAGGGAATTCTTTAGGTGTGTCGTATACGCCCTAATCTTACGCGCTGACCAAACGTCATTGATGGCGTGAAGTGAACACATTTCTGTGTCCGTTGTACGGTTTCACTAACGAGCGAGCTCTGTGCCGTGACCAAAACAATCTATAGTTTCTCGGGATTCGAGCCCAGGACCTGACGCCCCTAACGCAATACTATTCAACACGTTAACCACTTTGTTACAGAGGCATACCAAAATGTACACAATAATAGATACTGTAGTGCACAACTGCATCATAGAATCGATCTCCCAACACCACGAACGTAAGCCGTGTATTCATCACTAGCTGTGTCAGCGCCTTCGTCCGCGTAGAATTACTTTGGGCATCCAAATTGGTTTTTGCAAATTTTCTTTATAAATTTTAACTGTCACCCAGGAAGTCGTCCGTGTCCCGTCCTTCTTGCACGTTAATTTGAAAAGGCAGCCATATAGTGTCGCGGACATTTTTTTGATAGTTTAAAGAAGAATTATTCTTTAATTCATCAATGGTATCTCGAACCGTGTTTGCATAGTCGCCGGAAACCTAAAAAGATGAATATTTTTTCCGTTTTTTCCACATTTCCCGTTGTATCATTTGGTGAGTTGTTGTATAGCCTAAACAATCCTTGATACATGCTCTAACCAACATAAAAACTATTTTTCAGTTCGAACCAGTTGTTTCTGAGATTAGCGCCTCCAAACAAACTCTACAGCTTTATGTATTAGTATAGATATAGATACACGGTATTCACTGACTAATGACCAATTGGATTATAATTCATCGTAACTGTGAGAATTACGTGCTATTACGGATTAAATTACCCTAATCAAGTGAGTAGCTTAACAAGACATAACGTAAATGTAATACTAACATTGTTTTACATAATTACGTCTAGAAATTAAAATGTTAGGTTGTGCGAGAGCCGCATGATAAAATTATTTAAAAAATACGATGCTGTGTGGGTAGAGCGCCACAAAACGCTTGTATGTTTGGGTGGGGTAGTTTACGCGAGTAGTACGCATTTTAATAAAACACTATTAACGGTTTAAAACGCAAAATATGTAAGTTAGTAAGTGTTTATAATTTATTTTAACTATGACCAACGTGACCATGGCTGCTATAAAGCATTTGAAACATTGAGCCATAGTTAAAATAAATATTATAAAAGTTAATTTCATTAGATTTAATTGTTACGTTAGGTGGTAAAATGCATAATTTCGTAAATGTAATTCACCCAATCATAACGTTAAAAGTAATCAATCTCATTAATAAACCATTAATTTTGAATCTGCCAAAGTTTCTTGTTTACTTCCTTTTCAAAACAATATTGAAATAATCTAAACTACGTTACAAGAATTTAGAATAACTCATTAACCATTTAAATAAAACAGATTATTAGTACACTTTTTGTTTAAACGTTAAAGTGTTTTATTTAAAAGTGTTCTTTTTATTTATGGGTTATAATAGGTATATGTGAACATACCATTGTAAGGGAAACCAGGAAGTTCAATTCTCGTTCACCAAGATATTTATAGTTATGTACATAATAGAAAATATACGAACAAGAAACTGGCAATACTTAGAAACGTAAATTGGACATGATACCTATGTTGGTCAGCGAAGACTCACAGCGTCTTAAATCATTTTAGGAGGCCTGATTTTCAGCAGTAAGGACAATTAAGAAGTTGATGATGATGATGAATTATTTGATCACAATTAAAAGTCAATAATAAAATAGGCTTATTCATAATTACTTAAACAATAGAATACGAATCGTAAGATCTTTTCAGTCTAGTTAACTTAGAAGCGATTAGATAACGTACGTTTTGCACTTTCCTATTTGCGCAAGGCATTCATAAAATTATGAAATATGAATCTATATACTATATATAAATCTGAAGAGTTTGTTTGTTTGTTGATTGAGACAACTACTCTTGGGTCGTATTGAAAAATTATTTCTTTGTTGGTTAGAAAATTTATTGAGGAAGGCCACAAAACATCGCACTGTGAGTAAGACAAGCAAAGATACAGCGAGATATGTGAAAAAAATTGGGAAAATTATTCATCATTAAGGGTTTCCGAGGGGTACGCTGCAAAAACGGTTAAGTTATAGAATATAAATAATATAATAGGTTTTCGCTTTAAATAATCTAAAAAAAAAAGCCCGCGACGGTATAATGCCTATCTTTGAAGATTGACTTGCAAGAACGACGGAAAGGAACGCGACCGACGTCGTGGGTAACATCTTTGTAGAGTTGAACAGGAGGTTTGCAAAACCAAAAAATTATACTCAAAATAACTATTTTACGCGTACGAAGTCGCTAGCTAGTTTAATATATGTATATGCCTTACATTCAACGTTTTATCGACTTACGATTTAGTACGCTTTTCGTTCCAGTGTAATTTTTGTAGATCATGACAAATTACTAGAAATCGATGACTTTAAAATAAATACAGATATATCTGAAGAGGATGAAAATAGTTATTTACTGTTTGCGATATACCTAGGTCTGTGTAGGATAAAGATTATAGTAGCCTTAAATCCAAAAACAGACCAAAAATTCGCGTGCACTTTCGGCAGACAAGCGAATTAATAAAAATATGTGTTTACTATTTTTAGTTGTCGTTTAACTAATTTATTGAATGTACCACGATTTGTTATATATAGATACCTATAAACTTTCTAGAAAAATTACAAACGCTGGATTATATCTCCGTTGATAGCAATAGAAAGATTCTTTGATTTCGACGGCGAGTTCAGCAATCCGTAGACTAGAGTAACATCCACAATATCCGCTCCGAATATCGAACCCACTACAATAAAGTTAAGCGTAACTGCATTAATATTTCTGCCACTCATTACGCTGTGAAGTATAACAATTATCTAATAATATAATTAGTAAGTAGAACAAGCGATGAGTCTTTCATTATTCATCGCGGAAAACTTGCTCGAATACTTATACACAACTATAGTTAGTTTGTGTTCTTTACGATAACTGAATGACTACGATCTACGTTAACATAACTAGAGATAATATATAAAATAGATGTTTAGATATAATCTGCAAGTCTTTTCCTATATTTATTACTTAATTAGCTGCTTTCTACTCCAAAAACTACATTAAAAGGTATCAAAAAATACAAAATATAATAGTACAAAATAAATACCTGCTATTATTATTGTCTATTCTATATTTAAAAGCATAGGGATTTCAATAGTTACAATTGTGGGCTGCAAAATTTTGAGTCCCGAGTTAGTATTATTTGTAAATTAGATGATGTAATTGCTACTAATGCAATAATATTAAACAATTGGCATTAATTACTATTTGTAATCCTATAGAATAAACAATAGTTTCGGAGTCAAAAAGTATTTTAACTACCCAAATAATTATAGGTAATGAAATATTAATTTTGTTAAAGTGTTTACTAAAACGGGTAATTTTTGCGTAAAGTACAGCTTTTATTTTGGAACCTCGCAAAAAATAATAACACATTAATTAGGTAGATGATCATGGCAGAAACTATAAGAACATGGTAGAAAAACTAAGACTTTGTCCCAACAAACCCAAGGAAGGGGTCACATATTCAAAAAAAACACTAGACATGCATGACACTTGTTCAAATAATGTTTGGATCATACTCTTTGTACAGATTTAAAACATTGTAAAGTTGAATGTACTTCTGTGTGCACTCTGAATATTATTGAAGAACGCTTCTTGCATTTGATGTTGTAAACTTCTAACCATATTAGAATTTACAAGTATATGGGACTGCGATGTAACTTAGTAGTGACTAAATATAAGTATGCAAAAAACAAAATTGTTTGTCAAGAACAGTGGTTCCTAAGAAACCTATTCGTTTTTTGCATACATGTTTAAAGTTTAGTTGTCAGAAATTTTACCCAATAAGAAATAACAAAAAAATATATAAATGCTATAGGTGAAAGGACTTAACATCGTCCATACACAAGTATAAAATATGATACCAAAATTTTACTACAACAAAAGGTGAAATGAAAAACCAGTATTCCACAAGCTTAGTAACAGCAAATTGACCTTGACACTTATGAGGTCAAGTCAGCAAAACATGTTTGCTGAACAAGCATAACTAACATTGTTTTATTAAAGACACACAATGGGGTGGTTTAGCAAAGATAATACACTATTGGATAATAAATATATGGCCTATCAGAAAGAATTTTTACATAAACAAGAACATTTTAAAGTAATCAAATGTTTGTTAGTCTAAAAATTATTTCTTAACAGTTACCTATTATTTGATTAAAATTTGAAGGCAGTTTACTCAAGTTACTTATCTAGTAAATGAACAATAATACATTCAATCACTCAAAGTCCAATAATAATGACAATTTAAAGTATAAAACACAAGCCTCTGACACTAAACTTAATTAAAAAACTTACATGTCATTAACCTGTATATAAAGGACGAAGTATTATGTAATTTAAAGATTTGTATAACTTTGTCTTATCATTTTAAGTGACAAAAACTGGAAATTAACCGCATGACCCTAGCATAAGACATTTAAAATGGTAAGATGACCAATTATAATTGTACAGTCAAAATGTACAAAATGCTTAATAAAATGAAATACCTTTACATTAAGAAATAATTTAATAATTATGCAATGTTGTTTACCTTAAGTAAAACAAAAAAATACTATATATTCTTAAATTAATTCATAGAAACAAATAGTGTTCTATGTGGCATGTAGTAATAATTTAATTTCCTTTTCAGATAATATAATAGTAAAGCTTGTTAAGGCATATATACAGTATATTTGTGTACACTTACTTTTCTCGCAGATACTCGATGCTCCAATAAATAACATCACCAGGCAATTCTGCCTCTGTGATGGAGTAGTCTGGGGCATACACAGGCAATTGATCCTCAGGGTTCACAGTTGCCGCGAAATTTTCGAAAAACACTCGATACGATGTAAGGTAATCTTCTTTATCTCCCATTTTTTGCAATAATACACAACTTTTGGTAACAAAACACAACAAGTATACACCCTATTCCTGGCTCACTTATTACACTTACGAAAACGAAATATTATACTTAATATTATGTTATTTAACTTTATTTTACAAATTATTTCTTAAGTTTACGCTAAGAATTATATCAATATAAAAATATTGGTAAATCAAAACACAATTCACACTCCAAACGCACAACACCACAGAATAAAGAAAAGCTTAATAAAACTACTGAATTAGTTAGAGCTGTACGTAGCTCATTGTCTATCGATATCACATTCGTTTATAAAATTAAGAGAAATTATAAAATCATTTTCATCCTTTATAATATTTCATTTAGAGAAATATTATGAAATCTAAGAATAAAGTTCTTATAAATTTAAACCTAAGAACTATTAAAAACTAAGCTGTCGCTTATAAAGACTTTTCGATTATATTGATTCAAATTTTTTATCGTAGCACCACAACACTACCTAATGACTTTGACAGACGACAGATTTTAGTAAAAAAAAACCACAGACTCTCAAAAATAATGTCATCCTTCATATTGTTTTGATAATGTCACAAATTGACATTTCACAGGCCTTTGTTAATTACGGTATTTACATTTATTGAACCGGTTTCTCTAATTTGCATTTGCAATAATTTATAGTATAGAAACTACTTTGCAGTTTGCATTTAGTCAATGTCTAGAGAAAAATAATTTTGGTTTCTGTACTGACACGTATTTGGTTAAGTATAAAGGTAAATATATTTATATAAATTATTATTTACAGTAATAGTATGAAGCTTATAGATTATAATTAGGTCGTAATGCATGACCTGAGTCATCAGTGCCTAAAAAAAACTGTCTGCGCTAGGTAATTATTGTAACGTACAGTCACGTAACATTGATATAATGATAACATTTTAATCTCAAACGCTAACCTTTATCACCCAATTAATATACAGCTATTGATAAAGTGGATTAGTTACTGTGCAAGTTTTCACATAACACTTTACAGTAAGTAACTGCGGAGGCCCAAAATTCACCATGCCTTCAATAGCTGGGAAATATCAACATTACAAGAATGAAAATATTGATGACTACTTTACTGCTGTGGGTATGTAAAAGGTTTGAATTATTTCATAGTTTCTATCATTAAATATCATTTGACTCACTTGTGGATCTGATGTCTGGATGTGCTGATTTAATCGTAATAAATATTAACATAGATCTGAAATTTATTAATAGTGCAGTCAATGAATCTATCTCTATAATAACTGGCAAGATAAGAATAAATATTTAATTTTTAGGCGTTCCCTTTATGGGTAGAAAAATGATGAGTATGTCATCACCTCTAATGGAAATAGTATTGGAGGGCGAGCAAATGCATATAAAAACTTCATCATTGTTAAGAACAGTTGAATACACATTTAAACTAGGTGAAGAGTATGAAGAACAAATGCCCAATAAAAGTGTTTTGAAGGTATGAAACTAGTTAAAAATGTAGTGATACCTTTACTTTTTCTTATTTTCTCTTTATATATTTCTGTTTTCAGAGTGTCACGAAGATTCAGAATGACAATGAGGTTTTGACAGAATCCGTAATACCTGAATCTGGAGAGAAATGTGCTAGGCATTATCAGTTCACTGATGAGGAGTGTATAATTGTATGAAATATTTCTGTTTATTGTTATAAGATTTTGTTCTAATTAGCTCATTGTAACCTTTTGATTTCAGACACTGACTCATGAAAAAGCTAAAACCCCAGGCAAGAGATATTTCAAGAGAGTAACTTCTTAATTTTTTAATATGATATTGACATAATCTTGTGATATAAGTTTGAATATTGGGATTATTATGATCTATATTTTTGACTGAAAGGCATTCATATTTATAAAAAAACATTTATATTTTTATTGTTTATGACTCTAGTTTTTTTATATTTTTACATGTTTTGTACTATTTTTGATTTGTAAGTAAAATAAAATGATTGCAATATTTTTATTACCACATTGGTTTAATTTTAATTGGTAGGAAGTATTCTTCATATCAACGACACCACTATGTACATATTTTACCGGGGTACTATATTTTAAATTGTATATAGAAGCGCGGGAAAGTATTTAACATATTATTCTTTATCTGTAAAATAGTATAGCAGAGTGAAATCTTAATGTAGTCTGTGATTGTTATATTCCTGTCTGTCATCTGTCAGTTATACGGTTTTTGTTTTAAAAATCCGTGTCAAAAGAAAACGGTCGATGGACATAGCTTTACATGAATCTCAATTTATCGATTTAAAAACTCGTAAAAGACCACGCACTTCTTCCCAGTTAACATATTATATGTTGATTTAGAAAGACTTCGAATAGTCGGAATCATGTCTGAAGTCAACCAGGTAAGGCGTTTTATTGCAGTTCTTTGTTCTACCGACCACTGTAAATTTTCGAATTAAATTATTTTTAAGGAGCAACAAGTCAAAAACCTTAAGAGGTTTTTGGAAGGATGGCGTATGGCCGTTTTACCGCTGAAGTCTGTCTTCTTATGGGAGCAGCAATGGCATCCTTGCGCTATAGTCGCTTCGGTATCAGTTCTGTACTTCATTATTTGGTTGATGGATCTCAACACCCTTGCAACGTTCGCTATCGTCGGACTATTTCTCAATTTCTTGGATTTCATTGTACCTATCATGTGTAACTCTCTATGCAGTCCTAGTTTATGGACTGGTCAAAATGAGAAAATATTTGAAGATATTTGTAGAGGAATTGTCGCCAATTATAACAAGACCTTACGGCAGCTTTGCAACTTTTACTCGCTGAGAGAAAATAGCCCAGTCATGGTAAGATATTTTTAAATTAACATTGGAAACTTAAAATAATGAAACTGAATGTCAATTCTATTTATCTAAACATTCTTAATGACCACACTCTGCAGAGCACAAGCTCAGTATCATTCACATACTGCCAAATTTTTTATTTTAGTTTAATATTCTAAGTCATGTTGCTGACATGCTTGTCCTATCATTGAAATAATAGTTTACATAAGCATAGAAGTAATAAATAAATATGTTTCTTACTATATTACTTCTTTTTTTCAGTACTACATAGTTTCAATCAGCATGTTATGTATATTGGCATGGATGGCATCATCGATCAACAATATCTTCTTGCTTTACATATTTTCGGTAGTAGTACTTCTCTGGCCTGGCATCCAGCACAGGGGAATTCTCAACACCCTCCTTTCCATGATTCACATGGCTCCCAAGTCTTTAAAAGCAGAGTAATCCGCTACTTTCTATTAGTTGCTAGCTTTTTATGTGATGTAAGTCTGGTCATTACAATATTAAGTTAAGTTTAGATTACGTTGTGAGCTTTAAATTATCTTTTGTTAAATAAAAATGGGTATTTATACAGAAGTCAGCATTTTTATTGACCCTAGAATCTTCCTTGAGTATAGTTAAGGTTAAAGTGCTTTTCTGTATTAATTAAGGATTCTGATAATTTTGAGAAATAAAAAACAGAATCTAAAGCATTGTATATTTCAGTTATAACACTTAAACTATCACTTAGTAAACACCGCTAAGTAGCAACTACATATGCTGAGTGGAGATAATAGCCGATTAGGAATGAATCCTTTTCATTCAGGGATGTTCACTATCTGAAAATTGTATAGCCTCTATTAAAGTCATCAAATTGTGCTTATTCATAGAAATTAAATTAATTGTTTGTTATATTGAAGCCCGGTGTAACATTGACGTTCTTAGCTTTAGTCACAAGTGGCTCAATGGGATCATGGTGGACTGTGGCTATGTTATTATTTGATTTGCTCTCACCGGAAGCACTAGCTTTCAAACAGTCCTCAGAGATGAGTGTGGTGGTGAATCTACTTCCGTTCACTGTGCCCTTTTGTGCGCTACTATCGCTGTACCTTCTATTTGTGTTGACATCCAGATTGCATTTGACATCCTGTTGAAGATTAAGAGGGTCCAAATTTTTGAATTGCAGACGGTCTTTAGAGCATTTTTTTGTTTCATCCCGGTTGAAGTTTTTGCTACTGGACGGGATGTCTTTGAAAAGAGCTTCCGTCTGCTGTGGAGTCAGGTTGTATACTTCTAGTGGGATGTTGTTGTGTATGGGCTTTAGGGTGTTTCTAGAGCAGATGGGGCTTAGGTCGTTCCGGATTATTTTGACAGGAGAACTACACGCGTCCACTGTTAGCGTTTCTTCGTCGTCTTCGCCCTCCGCGCTCTGTTAAAAACATAGTTCAAGTTAAAAGATTCTTTAGTGTAACAAATTACACAACTTTCTAAAATATTAATAATCTTCTAATTCAGTGAGGCTATATTTTACATATTACTTAAATGTATGCGTAAAGAAATTACCCAATATCCTAACATTGGTTCGTCTTGTCCAACAGATTGTTACACTGTTAATTTCTATGTTACAAAAAATAACTCTATTTAAGTATACTCAATTTATGAAGAAGGATTGCAGAGAAGTTATTATATCAAAGGTAAAAAACGAACTAGCCATGAAATTACAAAAAATAGCCTAGCTTGACACTAAGCCCAATTTCACTAAGGATTAGTGACATCGTTTAACAACCCCAACCGCTTCTGTAGCTAAATGGTAAAACGTGGCGCCATTTCGCCAAGCGCAATACCTGCGTTGTAATCCAGGGAAAATAAATAAATCGTTTCTGTTGGGCACAGAAGTCTGTTCAGCTTGCCTGTAATAAATTAACGGACACAGAAACCCCACGCCCACGAGGCTAATCGGGTTTTCACTTCTTTACAACCCCATACAAAAATCTCTCGTAACGGTCGGTCTACTTTAATCAGTACTATTTTATCTCGGTGAAATGGTATACCTAGTACAATAATACTAAGTAAATAAATAAACAACTAAAAGTTGTGATAGGTCAACACGAACTCTACAATATTAGGATATTGACCCACCGTGATGTCGTGGTCGGTGAGTGACCCGGCGGTCGCCTCATTGCTGTTAAAATCCGTTTCGGAACTCGCTGACACGGGCGTCACGTCGCCGCTAATAGAAGAACCTAAAACGTTATAAATATACAATTATCTGTATAAAATATTGGATTAAAAATACCTTTACTTGGTAAATAATTATTTGACCGACTTACAATTCGAAAAATTTAATTCTTATTATATGAGGCTGCTAGAGGCAAAGTGAGCTAATAACAAAAAACATGATTTTCAATAAGAAGGAAATTAAAAATACGCAATTAACTTAGTTAGTTAGGCGGTACGAAGTTCGCCAGGTCAGCGAGTTTTTAATAAAGAGGGAAATAAAAATGCTCAATTAACTTACTCGAAAATGAATTTGCACGATTATTTGAGTAAGAATTACGTTAACAATTTTCGGTCACTCTTGTAGATTAAAATTTTTAGACTGTATAAATAAGTCAAGTCAAGGCCTCATGTAACCTATAATACCGTTAAGTCAAAATCTTCCTGTCATGATGTTATAATTTCTACAAAGACCTCGTTTATCATAATAAATATATATATAATCGCCAATCTCTTCATTTTGTTTCATCGGATTTCATGTCTTGTAGCAATAAATATTTTTCTTTCATTATTTCTGGCTTTCTTCTCTCAAATAGTAGGTACAGCAAACTTTAGTGTCTATTTATAAAACTGCGTATACGTTCTAAACATGCTAAAACTAAGCCTGTACAAATATTAAACGCATGCTCTATCCGTTGTGTAAAGGCTCGTGCAACCTAACATGCAATAGTACAAATTCAAAAGTAAGGCGACGATATTGTGCTGCGTCATTTAATCTGTGTTTTCCAGAATTTAATGTGGACTTATGCAGATTATAGTCTATCCCCAATTCCCCAAAAATTTAATGTCAAAACGTATATTTTAAATTATAATTTAGTTGAAACCTTCATATTGTTCAAAGTTTACCGTTACCTATCGTATAGAGTGTGCAAAGTACATACTTTGCCTTACATACGGGCCTTGTAAATACATAATTAAAAGGCCCGTTTGTCGTACCACCATATCCATATTAAAAATGACATATAAGTCAAATGATGTCATCATCCAGTCGTGATGGCGAAACATCAAGAATCATTTCGTTATTAAGACGAACGACCAGCTCGAAAATTCTCATAGCATTACAAAATGGCCTTATACAATTTCAATTTGCATAGTTATCGTCCATATTATTAAGTGCTTAGGGTGTTAAACAATGCACGGTGGCCTGAAAGTACTATAGTATGGATATCGTGGCACATTAGAAGTGGGATCAGGTCGAAATGATACCTGCAAGCACGTCGTTCAGGCCGTAGGGTCGCAGCTCGAACGCGCACAAGGTCGCCGCCTCGCCGTCCCACTGGGGGAGCTTGCTCGGCACATTTTTACTCCAATTGCTACTGGAATGTTAAAATGCATATCTCCCATACTCGTGGGAATTGAGGTCGACTCACCGTACCATGATTTTAACCACTGACACACAGAGCTAACCCTTATCTTTAAGACAGTAAAATACATATGTCACGAAGACCGTTATTTTGTTTAATCGAGATTGATTGCTAATTTTAAAGCCGTGTCAGCAGCAATAAGATCATGGTACAGTATCTTAAGCGGTGTTAGCACATTAAACACAGGTCCCCTACGTGTAATTGTGCGAAATCAAAAATATGTCGACCTTAATTTGCAGTTAGTGTCAAGTGTAGCACGTTGTATTTACAACAAAAATAAAAACACAATGACATACGATTTATTTTTAAAGCTTGTTTAGCGAAGATTTAATGACAGCTCAATTGTGGAGAGATGAAGTGAGAGATATACCAACTTAAATAGGTGTTCCGATTCTTCAATAACTATTTTGTCATCAATATAGATCACTTTATAAAGTATAATTATTTCATGATTTCGGAATACTTAATTAAGCTGATAAACAGAGACAGACCTCGAAACTTAAGTATGTCGTTTCATAGATTTTGGCATGAATTCCTTATTCTTAAACATAAAAATGTGAAAACTTCTTTTTAATGGACTAACAAAACGATATACTCATCTACACCTCACTTCCACTGTACTTATGTGAGATCCGGCATGGCGGACCATTTCAAAGCGAGCGAAGATGTTATCTAACAATCACTTGACAAACTTCGTTAAAATGCGGGTAGTTATAAAGATATAATACCTCTCCGATACATTTTTTTGTTCGGAACCGGCGTAGTTTGAATTCGGTGATGAGGGTCCAGCGGAAGACAGGCCACTTTGTAGCTCACCAGATGATGACATTAATGATGATGGACCGCTCCAGCCTACACCTGGGAAGTACATAAGAACAAATAGTTAATATGAACTGGTTTATATATCAAATATTTTTATTGTTTTTATAAAGGTATAACTAAGCTATTCGCTATGTGCAAAGTGGGTGGTGGGGGACGGTAAATCGATCGAAGCGCACGATGTGGCAGAAATGTGAATTAATTCTGGGCTGTCAAGTGTCAAATTGCTTTATTTTCATAACTTCCTTTATAATTTTAAGTAAAAACGTAAAAATTTGCGATATGGGTATATATGTAGTACATAGTACATGCTATGTCGTAAATTGTAAAAACAATGGGAAAAACAGTTCGTGCAAGTCTTATTCGTTTCCCACATCAAAGTGGACATTACAGCAAAGACAAAAATGGATAGCTGCTGTGAAGAGAACATTTGTTCATCATTTATCTGGAATTAAAATAAACAATAAAATAATTAATATAAATAAGCTGATATGAAGCTAGCTGAAATATACTATTTCTATAGCTTGATATGTAGGTAGGTATGTACTCACATTTAATGATGTTTTGTAGAGAGTTTGTCTCACAGACGTTTGTCTTATGATCAGAGCTCTTATTAAGAAGCTTTTCCCGTTCGTTCTAAGCTCTTCCACTACTCTCACATGCTGTACTAATACTAATTCTTTCCCTTTTTGCTCAGTTTGAGGTTGGAAATGTATTTTATGCTTAATCGATTCAAATCCCGTACGTATTATAATATACATATTTTTCACGAGGAAGAAAATCGCTAGCTATAATATACACACTCACTTTTTACAGTATTTTTTTGCAATTTCGTTAAAAAACTAGTCGAAAATCAATATCACAAAGATATCATAACATCTAGTTGACATGATTTGATAGATGACAAGTCCTGAATAGTTGTGGCCACTAGGGGCGCTGTCATCGCGCACACGGTGAATAGTATTACATTTATAAGACAACTGCTTATTTATGCTATGGATATAACTATTCGATGTTACCGTGAATAGTTATGTAAATTAAATTACAGCGAACATTTTGGGTCCTTGTACTTTCTTTGGGACCGTGAGAAAGGGGTAATATTCTAATCGAATATATTTGGAGAGGTAATAAATTATTAAATATGGAAGTGTATCGCGATATTGAGTACGTACTGTTAGTTGGAGAATGCTTGATCAGAGGCTTGGTTACAGGCTGAACGGGCGCTGCTGTCAGTCTCTCGAGGAAGTCATCTAGTTGACGCAAGGAGAGGGCGTTGTGAAGAGTCTCTAATGGTCTGATCGCTGGCACACCGCCGAAACCTTCCAGCGCCGCTGATCATTGTAAAAATATGTAAATCTTGAGGCTACTGATGAAGTTAGGTTTTTATAGATACCGTAAGGCTTTATAGAAATATTTTTTGCAAGAAAAAGTAATTAATATCCATTATTCCACTTAGCTATTCACTGTAAGGAGACTAGGCGTTTGTGCCGTCCTTAGAAGTACCAGAGGTTGGTTCTCCAACTTTATTTAGCTATTTAAATAGCGAAAAGAACTTACTATTTGACGTGGCGTTCGACGGTATCATCACGCGTAGATTCGGCGCGGAGCTGGACCCGGATATCACCGCGGTGCTGAAGAGCCCCGCCGCACCCCCCAGCTTTCCCCTCGCGAGCCCCAACATCTTGAGGTAGCTCATCTGGCCGGCGATGCTGTGCCGCTGTCGCCGCCCTGCGCCGCGCACGCTACAGTCCGGCCACGAGGCCACGCGCCCCGCCCCGGACAAACGACCGACCTCGGGCAATGCGGGAGGGGGCGGAGTTACCGTTAGTAGGGGCGGGGCTAGGTGACGTTACGCGAAAGGGCACGAGCGGTTATATGATATGCGAGCGGGTTAGAAGGGGTGATAGAGAAATATATTAGTGTATTTTGCACTCGTAAGTTGATACATCCAACTATTAGTTAATTTAATTTGTATTTGAGCAACAATGTTTTTTTAACTAGGCAGTATCAAATATATAGTTGTAAGCTTCGTGTAATTTCTTGTTTCCTTTTTTTAAATACAGTGAAACCTGGTTAAGTGGTACCAGGATAAATGAGAAGCCTCTATCATGGAGAGTTACAATGAGGTCCCGGTTCTTTTACATAAATGACCTCTGTTAATGGAACTTTTTGAACCTGATTAAATGACATTTGAATTCTATGGCTTTCAACTTTACCTCTATAATTCGGACTCTGAAGCTCAATTATCTGTATAAGCGGACAATTTAATCAGGTTTTAATACGTTGTAACATGTTTGTTTACTATAATTTTAAAGCTGCATAATTGGAAAACTGAATTATGAGAAACCCTCAATAATTGGTACTCTGGTATATCTCAGTCCCTTGGGATCCTAATAAACCAGGCTTCACTGTTATAACGAATCTTTACTTACTAGTACACAACGCGATCAATATTAGGATCAACTCACGAGCGTATAAATAAATAGACTAAAAGAATATAATAGACAGAGGTGCTCGTAAGCGTGGCAGTGGTAGACGCTAATCTGTAGCCCGGCGTGTGCCGACGAGCGTTTGACCGGCGAACGAGAGTTTCGCTCCACCATATTACTCCTACCCTCACGGCTGTGATTGGAGGACTAATATGGAGAGTCAGCTCAAGTTTGCAGTATACACGTCCACTTGGTTTATATTAAGGGTAATTAAACATTTGTATAACAGTCCCTACACTTTCCGATAGAGTCGCTAATAAAATCCTTCTAGCCTTTCTTTCTTTCTTTTTTTTCTTACCGCCAATAATGAAAAATTTTGTTCGCTTCAATGATAGTGAAACAATTGGAACCACTGCGGACTATGACATAAAAGCTAGCTAAGCTACTAAATACAGCTTAGAATAGCTTTCGTCATCTTGTAATCTATCTGTTTGTAGTACGCGAGTAGTAACACATTTTGAATAAAACACTTTAAAAACGCGAAATATATCAGTTGAACTTATTTGAAAATTATTTTAACCACGGCCAGACGTTTCTGCATTAATATATTTCGCGTTTTAAACCGTTAAAAATGTTTATATAAAAAGCAATAATTCTTACTAGTGTATAAAAATGTGTTTTTTCTTTGAAAACGTAATTTAGCTAGTTACGTTGTTAGGACATGCAGTCAGTCAAACGAACGTTAACCACACGCGTTTACTGGAGCAATGCAACGCAACACACAAGATCGCCGGCCAGAGTGAGCTAGCTACGAGTAGAATGGCGTAAAAACGCCGCAGCCATGTTCTACGCACTCCAAACACAAAAATCAACAAGTACACATCAAAATAGATGCGATAATGAGCTCTATTGTTAGGTAGTTAAAGTTCTTAATCTAGCGTGAGCTTCCAACTCTTAAAACGAATAAAGGGTAGTGATATGAGGACAAATAACATCACAGTCTACACTTCATGCAAGCCATCACCGAAGAGAAATGTGATGCAGCAAAGTAGTAGAATGGATAACAAAAAAAATCGTAACTCTACTACAGTACTGTGTTAGATCTTGGGAACAGCAGATTATTTTTTATCTATACAAAATAGTAGTAAAGTTCTAGCACAAAATATGTACATATTTCTGCACCAATCTTACATAACACTTGTTTCTTTTTCGGGGGATTCGAACCCAATAAAAACTTGTTAAATACTACATGACATTAGCTTCGACTGTCCCTTGAGTCCTTTGTCCTTTATGTCTATTATTTTTTATTTACACGGTATTACCACACCTAAGGTTTGTTAGTAATTAATATTGCGAAACACCGAACCCAGTGTGTTGATCTATTTTATGTCAACATAAATTTGGTTCCGTATAACGCAACACAACGTGTAGAATTAGTGTTACCATTATCATGCGTTTGTTTTTGCTGGTCGTAGCTGCGCGCGCGCGGCTGTGGATCCTCGCCGTCTTTTGTCTCTTTCTCTTCGCTCTGCAATTTATTAAAAAGCGATGTTAGACGCCTCAATTCAAATAAATTCGTTTAGTTACTCAGTGACAGAATGCTGGAATAATATTCCACCATCAGCTCATAATTACCTGCGCATGTTCCCTTGTATCTGTGTGGGTGTGGCTGCGCGCGCGCAACTCTTCGTTAAGACGCGCCGCAAGAGTAGACGCTTCGTGTCCGCTTACCGTGTAATGAAGATTGCTTTAAAGAATGTATTTTAAACATTTATAATATAAAAGTTAACGAATGAGTTTATTTAAAAAAACATTTGATATAAAGGACTCGGAATTGAACCCCTCGAAAACTCAAAGATTTAACATATTATTATTCTTGGAAACTACGTATGAAATTATGTACCTGCACTGTGCACAGTGTAATAATAGAATTATTTTCACTAAATCATAGTTCTTGCAAAAAATATATTCGTAAACAACGAACCAAATTGGTATAGGATCGGACGGCCGCAATTTTGACTTGGAGCACTTCGTCGCTGAAAATGTGCTGTCCAATTCGTCTATTACATCCTGAAAGGTCAGAAAGTACAAATATTATACAAAATCCAAAATAGACTCGAACTGCATGAAAAGTTACAGGAACTTTTATACGCACTGGTTGTAAGGTTTCCTGACTCGCCATTTGATCATCTTCCACTTCCTCCTCGATACACTTCACCGCGTCCGGAGAGGATTGCTGTAAAGTTACAAATTCGTTCCTTAGAACATTTTAATTCATCCATTATTCAGACATGTCATTATTTATTTTTACGCAGAAAAATCAAAACAATTTTGTATACTATATTTCCAGTACATTTGCGTATTGTAGTTTACGCGAGTAGTACACAAAAAAAAACACTTTAACGGTTTAAAATGCGAAATATATTAGTTAAGCTAATTTGACAAATAATTTTAACTATGACCCGACGTTTCGAATACTTTGCAGCAGCCGTGGTCACAGGGACTTAACTAATATATTTCGCGTTTTAAACCATTAAAAATTTAAATACACTTACGATTATAGTTCATTTTAATGTAATATAAAAACAGTTGTTTAGCAATTTAACTACCGCAGGCATGATTACGAGAATGAACACTCATAAAGACCTTGGTTTTTTTTTCAACTTACCTCATTATTGGCGGTCGAGTGGTTACGCGAGTGTGGTCTGAACCCAGGTCCGGGAGGTAGGTTCTTCTGAACGCAGCAATTCACTCCGGGACTAAAGTGCAACTCCACATGGAACCTAGAACATATTTTACAATTCTACTACTTACAAGTAGAAAATCGAAAATTAAAAAGTATTATCTATCTATAGTCTACGCGAGGTTAATTAAATAAAATTTTGTATGGTGTAAAGCCAAGATATAACAGGTTGCTTGTATTTAAAATTTAACGGTAATAAAAAAGTTAACACGTAAGTGTCGCATTGTGTTAAAAGATATCTATGTAACCTAAAAACATTTTGTCTCTTTCTAGTATGAGGGTCAGAAAGAGAAAAAATTGAGATAAACTGCTGCCATAGACTATATTTACAGTTTGTTCTAGTTTGTATAGGACCTGTGTTATTGTATAACTTAGTATAATGGCTGCGAAAGCCGTATACAATTTACGTCATGATTAAAGACTTGAATAGATGCAAAACTAACCTCTCTTCAGAGCAAGGGTCTTTAGTGGGGTCTTCATACAACATAACAACAATTTGAGACATATAGTTCAGCTCCGACACCATAGACACGTACTCCATAGCCCGTCGCCATTGTTCGTCTTTCACAATCTACGAGGAGATAAGATGTAAGTAAAAAATAACTTTAAACTACGCTTTGTCATGGGGGGCAGCGTATTTCAAACCGTTAACAAGGTTTTAATGTATAAGTAAAAAAAAAACAGAAACGAAAATCAAAAATAAAATTAAAACTGGAATATAGAAAAAAGTTAGGAAAATAGAGTTTTGTAAAAAATAGTCAATTCTACGTTAGACTACCCACGATCAATCGACAAAGCTATAGGGTACAAGACAATATTTAACGGTTTTAAAGGATTTTTTAGCAAAAAGCACTGAATTCTTACATCTAGTAACCCCCCAAATCTCAGCACAGTCAACAGCGAATGCACATGACTCTCACTGGTAAAGTACAGCCGCGTCCGCACGTGGCGACCGGGACTAGACACACCGTGACTGTACCTGAAATATAACAATCTTATATCAACGATATTTTTCTGAAAAATAGTCCTAAAAATGCTATATGTCATATGTAATCTATTTGCTATTTTTATCATTTCAGAAAACATTTTCATTTAATGAAACTAACAGAAGATTAGTGTACAAACCTGGGATTCAATCTATTAACATTCTCTTCTCCTGATTCTTCAATATTTCTTTGTAAATCTGCTCGAATCTTCTTTAGCAGTGGAGTGCATATACCTTGACTGATTGTCAATTTCTCTTGCATCGTCAATCCGTATTCCTACAAAATATAAGATATTATAATTTTTTAACGTACAACATTATATGACTACTCGAAGGACCAAAAGAGTAAAATTCTATTACATACCTGTGGTATAACAATATCGGCCAGATATTTGGCGTACATATACAGCTCTTCTGCAAGGTCAAACTGCAGCGTGTGTTGATTGTGCTGCAAGTCGTATTTAATGCAGTCGTAGATATCTGGTATCTTGGAAATGTCAAACGATTTGTGTTTCGTGCAAAAGTCCTTTTCTATTTTGCCCCAGCGTCGTCCCATTAACTCCCAAGTCTCGCCATGGTAAAGTATTGTATCTGAAAGAGTGTTTATGATTGAAAGCCAACTGAACATCTTGTCGAATTGTGTTTTAGAATTATAGGATATTGTTTGACATTTAACTTGCTATTTTTCTCTTTTCTCGAGTGTATTGCGTAAAAATCTCATTTAAAAGTTACCAACCTTTAGTTTTAGGATCGTCTTTCTTAGTGAGAACGATTTTCACGAGCTGTTGTATGAGCATGTGCACATGGGCACAGCATCGCACCGGGTTCTTGACGAAGTCCATAGCAGCGTTGATGCTCAAGGATGAGCAGGGATTGATGCGTGCTCGGTCTTCAGCTGTGAACTCGCGGTCCGCCTGCATCGCTTCGTGGAGACGAGCTTTAGCCCTATATAACGTTGACATTACTTATAAGGTTGATGTGTTCTCACACAACGAAGATATTTTTCTATAGAGGAATGAGCCAATGAGAGAGGAATGAGGAATATTTTGGACATGATGGCATTATACAAATTAAAAATCGATTTGTGACACGGTAGCTAAATTCGTTAAAACAATAGCACGCAATGGTGTGGTTCAAGTCCCGTTTGTGTCGTGAATGTTTTTCACTCAAAAAAGGGTTTTTTTTTAATATTGTACTTTGTATTTTAAATATTGTTTCATGGATTTGTGTAATTTAAAAAAAGCTTAAAAAAAAAGTTTTATGGTCAAAAGACTCACATATTCTGCACTTTCGACGAGTCGCAGTCGTTATCGAGTAGGCCGTTGGTATTCGCAGACTTGACCATTTGGACAAGTATGGGCGTAAGTTCACCTTCCAGAGCCAGTAGACCTTTGGCAAACGCCGCTGCTGTCATTTGTACTCTACCCTCGTCTGATGCGTATATCTTAAGATCGTGTCGGAACGTCGAGTGTAGACGAAGCAGGCCCAGCCCTTGAGTTCCAGCCTCACCTGGAATTACACGCGTCCCGTCATTCATGCAAGTAAATCTTAGAAGATAGATAGTGTCGCGGACATTTTTTTAGGTCATTTAAAAAGGAATCATTCTTTCCTACATGTTTTTTGGGTATCTCGAACCGTTTTCGCAGCGTACGCCTAAAGCCTTCCTCGATAAATGTTCTACATAACACAAAAATATTTTTTCAATTCGAACCAATAGTTCCTGAGATTAGCGCGTTTAAACAAACAAACTCTTCAGCTTTATATATTAGTATTAATAAAAATTCACTTAGACGTTTTAATATTGAACTTGTCTAAAATTATTAACTACTAGCTGGAATTTACATTTTACCATATGAAAACACATGCCTTAAGACGTAAAAATCAAACTCACCGGGTATATGTCTACCCTGCCCGCCAGGGTACATACAGCGGAACATCCTGCCCAATTCCTCTGCCTGGATACGTCCCGCTGGCGTCAGCTCCCCGCCCCACTTCAGGATCAGTACAAGCGATGGCTCACCCGCGCAACCTACTAAACATTACTCGCATCTTGTGTATTTGTCACTGTGTAGTATTTAAAATAAATCTATATCTAAATTAAATCAATTAAAGCCATAGTTTATTATTCATCTATTTCTTTCTTTTATACATTTATCTCTTTGATCCCCTGTATCCCCTTTCACTCAATACTTCCACTACTAGCATAAATAGGAGAAAACCGCAACAACTTAGCGTCACGAATATAAGAAGCAAGCTTGCTTTTGGGCTTGCTAAATTATTAGTGTGTAATTAAAAATGATAAAAAAAATTTGTAAGTATAGCTTTCGTGTTAGTATTTATTGAATTTCTTGGAAAATAATGGGCCCCAGTTAATTAAAAAATATCTACATCACCTCAACACTAAAAAAAATATACCGCTTAAATTTGCTGTAGCTGTGTTGCTATTCTATTTGCGTGCAAGTTCTTTCTAGATTCTACTCGAGCCTATACGCAAAGTGGTCTTACGGCAATGTTTACAGTGGCTTTGAAGGTAAATGTCAAATATCTCCCTTTTTAGAATGAAATAGCGATGTGCTAGAGACGTACTAAGGTTCGATTCGACAAGCTCTATTAATACTTTAATGGCTTCAATGTTGCAAACAATCAATTTCAAAGCAATTTACTTAAACGCAGAAACTAATAGCTGCATAAAACTTATCTCTCTCGAAGCGAAGAAACTAATGTTTTGATGATTAGTGGTTCGCCATTTATTAAATAATGCTCATATCACACTTGATACAGTATTTCAGATTTTGAAGTAGGGCTTGGCTTAAAACCTTCTTGGCAGTTAATAAAAAGAATTAGATAATCAAGTGTGTTATGTTTTTACTCTGTACACAATGAATATTGACGCGACCTATTGCGTTGTCTGTCATTATTGGTTTGAATTATTTCGTTATTCAAGTCTGCCACAGAAAGTAACGAAGTATCCAGAGATAAGACACGGTAGCTCAATTGGTTAGAGCAGCAGCAAGGAACACATAAAGTTGGCCAGTTCAAGGCCCGCCGGTGCCAACCATTTGTTTTTTGCCAAATAGATTTTTAATTATGTCGGGCTCTCGTTAAAACTTAAACAATTAATTTCGCGTTCTAAACCGTTTAAAGTGTTTTATTTATTATGTACCAGTCGCGTTAACTGAGTTTGGTTTTAATGATAAAAAAATACGATTATCTTGAGATTAATAATAGAGAATATGAATTTTGAAATATAGATTACTATACTCTATATTACCTCCTGTGGTCGATAGAAATTTATGGGTTTAGTCGTTCAAAGGTCATTGTGTACAGGTTGTTTAGTAAAGGTGTGGCATGCGGACCGTCTGCAGGTGTAGCGGGGGTTGCGGGGGTGTTACCGTCGTCCGAGGAGGAGCCGCGAGGCCGACCCCGAGGCTGGTACTTCATTTGCACCTTGCGATTGATGCCAGAAAAGTGACCGTACCTAAAGAAATAACATAAAAGTTTCATATAGTCTATAATTTTATTCATCTATATTAGTATTATAGCTGAAGAGTTTGTTTGTTTGGACGCGCGAATCTTAGAAATTACTGGTTCGAATTAAAACAATATTTTTGCGTTACTTGAACAATTTAACGAGGAAGGCTATAAAACATTAGTCTGCGCAAACAAACAGAGGGAATCTTGGAAAAAACGGGGAAAATAATTCATCTTTGCGAGCTTCCGTTGCGTGCATTGTGAAAATGATTCAATAAACACAAAAATTATTTTTACTCAAATGATCTAACAAAAATGTCCGCGATAGTATATGTTTATGATTTATAAAGTTGCAAAAATAAATATATTAATATGTTGCCCAAAATAACTATTTCATATTCCAGGTATCATTCCATGCCCTCGATCTTAAAATCGGTCGGTTACAAGAACTCTGATTTGAAGTAGACATATTAAAATATTTTTTAAATGACAGTTACATTACAGACCGTTTGTAAGTTTTTCATAATTGACTTTTCTTAAACTTATAAAGTATTACAGAATTCTTAAATTTATTTCAATCAAAATAAATGACATAGTAAATAAATATAATAATAAAAAGGATAGCATTATTTACAATAATAATACAATCAAGATAATAAAACTAATCAGTAAGATAAATTACAATGTAACTAAGAGCAGGTATAATAATATTTGTTTTACTATATTTTTCTTCTGTTATGATGAAGTCTGATGAACTACTCGCCCGTTAAAAGAATGGATCAGTGAAACGTACACAGAAATGTGTTTGCCCCATGCCCCACGAGGGGAAAACGGGCTTTGACTTTTTTTATTTTAAGTTAATTTTTATTTATAGTTTTTTTTTGTTTAAATCAATTATTATTTTTAAGATATGTGACTGTTTTACTGATTATACTTTTCGCACTGTAAAAACATTTAAAAGTAATACTTACATTTCAAGCACGCTCTTGAGCTGTTCCAGCTTGCCCTGCTTCTCCTCGATTTCGGGATCAGCGTGTCGAGTGTGAATATCAGCAAGCAGCGCACGCGCAATATCGAGGATCTCTTGCAGTTGTTTCGGCTTCTTCAGCTTCACATGCCCTCGCTTGAAGCCGTCGTACTTTTCAAATATCTCAAAGAATCTGCAAAAAGTATTGGGGCTCGTTGGTGTAATGGCAACATATTGTTCTTTCTGAAACATCTTAAACTAAGCTGGATAGTAGGAATGTCGTATAACATCTGGGGTTAGGATTCACCGTCATAGAAGCTGTGAAGATTAAACCTCGTTTTTGTTTCAATGTGTTGATTTCCGAATGTCGAGAGTAAGCCAAGCCAAGTTTTTATATGGCTCAGTTCTCATCGAGTAAACCCCATTGACACACCTTCTCTATTATATAAAAGTAAGAATATTGTTCAAATAGTTCAGTTATTTCAAAAAGTATGACTTTAGTAGGTTTCTGAAAATATGCCATTAGTAACATAAATTATTGCAAGCTATAGTTTAAAATCTAAATCTAATCTAATCTATATCTACATAAAAAATCTAATCTATGATTTTGCAAAGGTGAATCTAAACAATCATACAGGCTTAAAAATTGGTTAATCAGTCTATTTGCACGAGAAATATAATAAAGGTAACCTTGGATGCCTAACTTCGACCTTCATCTTCTGCTTAGGCGTCCTATCTCCATGTCTTATCACAGCCACAACACAACGCAGTTCCATCATCTTTCCGAACGTAGTGGGCACTATGGGCGGGTCGTCGAGTTGAAACGGCACCGACCAGGGAATATGCAACGTTGGTGCCAACTCCCTAAGGATCATATTCCCGAGTATCTTGGCACAGTCGTCATAGTACTTATTTGAGTTCTTCACGAACGAGAATCCGTTCACATCGCAGACGAACGACTTGCCGTTGGCCCTGAGAGAAAGAGAGATACTCTATTATTTACAGAGGTGATATAGCCTAGCGTATAGGATAGGACATATTTTTGCTTTGAACGTTTATGAAATCCATAGAATAAAATAACTAGTTGCACCCACGACTTCGTCCACGTGGAATAGTTATTTTGTTTAGTTCTGCAACATTATTTAGTCCTCAGCTTTATAAATGACTAGCCGTTACCGACGACGTCGTCCGCGTTCCGTCCTATTTGCCAGTTAATCTTAAAGGACACATACTATGACGACGATTTTTCATATAATATAAAGAAACCATAAAAATATGAATTAAGGACATTCATATTTCTCGAACCATTTTTGCAGCGCACTTTACGGGAGGCCCTTTTTTTCCCCAACCCCCTCCCCGCTAAATGCTCTAACACAAAAATATTTTTTCAATTCGAACCTATGTAGTTACTGTGATTAGCGCGTTCAAACAACCAAAACTTTGGAGTTTTATAACGAAAAAAAGGAAATTGGTTGCTTGTTCACAAAGGCGCGTATCGCAAAGTCAAAATTATCGAGTATGATGTAAACAGTTGTACTTACCGCAATAAATCGAAGCCACAAACTGTTTGCTTAAACGCCAAACACACCTTTCGACTGATAAGTTTCTCCTGGTTCGACAATATCACAGGATAGCGTATCTCCTTGCCCTCAGAGTCCCGTTCGACTTTGCCGTCGAGCGCCGGGCTCTTTCGCGCCTCGGCGTGTGCGTAGTCTGGCCCTACTGTATATACTTTTACGTCTGTGCCTGGAATTATTAATACATTCTTTAACATAATATAAACGCATCGTTATTTTACAAATATCGGATAGTAATGTCGTGATCAAAAAAGGGAGCGTCGGGCTGTGACTATTTCTCATTTTAAACCGTTTAAAAAGGGTTTTTATTTAAATAATACAAAATGACTTGATGCCCAATGACGCGATTTCCAAGTTATGGGATATAGCTCACCGTCTGTAGGCATAAAGTCTTCGTATATAAAAGAACCAGTCTTCCTTACACGAGATTCCGGCGAATAAATACTACTTCTACTGCCAATCTGTAAAAGTAAACATGATTTAAATTTCTGCACGTTAACGCAATACTGTAGTATAATTCAACTCACAGTAATTCACTAGATTTTGTGATAAGTGAATAAAAAATACCTTTCTAAACAGCCGTTGACTACCACCGCCAGCGGAGGTCGGGTAGTAAATGTAAATATTATGGTCCTCCGCCGACACCGGTTTTTCCACGAACGGCTTATTGAACACGACACCATTCACTTCCACGTGATCCTCGGATTCCACTAATTCATGGTCTGGGGGCGATACAACTGGTCATTGTTTTATTTTATGATAGAGGACGGACAACAAACGTAAAATAGCCCATCCATATAACATCTAAACAAGATGTGCGGTCGACCGATTTTGGCTTTACAGTTTCGGAAATCCACAGACGGAAATCGAAACGTAATTTAAGCTCACGGTCTTTTCAATTGTAGAGGTGGTTCGTGACCCCGAGAGAATTTCGATATTCCTTCCACCCATTTAATATTTAATCTCCTAACTTTCATTCATGTGCAATAACATGTAAAATATAATAAAATCTTCAAAAATCCTAACTTGCAGACAAAGTCCAACACGTTCCAGAGTAATTATGAATTTAAATGAAACACTTTAACGGTTTAAAACGCGATATATTAGTTAAACTTATTTTAAAATGATTTGGTCTCTCTGTGACCACCGCTGCTGCAAAGCATCCGAAACGTCGGGCCGAAGTAAAAAATCATTGTCAAAGAAGTTTAACTAATATATCGCGTTTTAAACCGTTAAAGTGTTTTATTTAAATGTGTACTACTCGCGTAAACTATAGACAGTATTTCATTATGAATTGATTAGACACATTGTGGATCTGGTGGGATCGAACCCGCCAGTTATTATTGCATACATTGCTTTCTTGACTATTACACCAACAAGAACAAGAATTATTCTTAGAAAATTCCAAATACCGAACCAAAATTTCACATTATTTGGCAGTTAATATACAACACATTTAGTAACACACTTTCTACAGGTTAAAAATATTACAGACATATAAGTAGGGCAAGTGAAGAATTAATTTGAAAACCAAAAAATTTCCTATGAGGAAAATCTTACGTTTGGGATCAGGGGAATCCCTGTCAAGGACGGCATATCTTGGAATTTCAATTCCCTCGTTTTCTAATATTGCGTAAACTCTCCTACGATCCTGCCGACAACATTTGGGATTAAACACCCTATCAATAAAGAAATAAGAGATATTTTCAAACGTCACACTCACTTGTATATCATACTGCATATGAAGATTGTTTATGACGTATGGCTTCCGTAATTTCTCGTATTGTATTGCTTTATCTAGCGGAAAGCCTTTGGAATGAAATGAGATGAGACAATCGCATATAGGCCATTCCTCTACAGGTTTCTGAAAGAATATATTCATTGTAATAAAACTCCTATTAAAAAATATGTATAATTTACAGGACTACACGAAAAACACACGTCGATACGAAACTTTATAACTGAAGACAGTATTTTTAGCAATATTTATAAATATGCAACGTAACCATTTTTTAACTTTAAAATAGGTATAAATCAATTTACAACCCTCAACCTCAATTTACAAGTTCTCAAGTTCCATGCAAAATTATAAAAAAAATATGAAAAGCAACCATCGTTCCATTTATACAGGATAAACATGTAAGCCAAGTGTGTCTACGTTAGTTAAATTTCAAACACAAAAATGGGAAACCAAGATTTGTTAGTGCGAGTTAAGTCAAAATAAGCGGCGAAACAAAATATAAAAAAAATGGCAGATGTGCTGTATATTTTGCTTCACTTAATGTTAGACAATCACAGAACCTTAAGTATAACCTCCTCGGGGAAGACGAGCATTTTTATGTACTCGAATTCGTCCAGTCGTGTTAGGATTTCCTTCATCGGCTTCGATTGCGACTTCTTGGCCATGGCGCAGACGCCGACCACCACTTTCTTGCCGCTCCCATCGTAATCCAGTGATTCGCACAGATCTAATTCGCCCTGTAACAATATTCATAGATTAAAAATAACACAAATTTGCAGAATAAATTGCCAATAATATTATCACTGGCCAGTTATAAACCGAAGAGGCAAAATCATAACCATTTGAAAAAAATGTTCTTAATTTAAAACTAGGCGATTCTAAATACCTATTATGCTTTATATACAATAATTGTACTTAGTTACATTTCCCTATGGCTACGCTATTTTTTGATAAAACAATAACCGTTATTTTAATACATAACAAGTTATCAATCAGATTGGCTAAGTAACGGCACGCGACAATATTAATCTAAATTACGATGAAGTTCGATAAAATTATCGATTGGCAAAGTAAAAATAGAAGTTGCATCAAAAATATATGTTTACCGGAGCCAACATGCCGAACACTTGTGCATTTGAATAATGAACAAGATGCAACAAAATGATTGACTGAAATGTGAATAAGACACTTTTGTAACAATAACATAGACTTTGGTCGCGCTAAAAGCGATTATGCATTATTATTAATTGATTCTAGTGTTGACTATTAGTAATAGTGTTAGGTGTCAATAAGTTTAATTATTCATACGTCAATGTCTTTTAAATAATCGAGATCAAAATTGGGTCATCTTTATTGGTAAACTAAGATCCCATGGGTATTTCTGAAAAATTTTGGTAACAGGTATCATTAGCTTTTTCAGATCGGACCTAAACTATTTATTGTATTTTTGCTATTAAGTAACCAGGTGACTAGTAAAAATAAGTATATATTTTATGCATATATATATACGTCATTTGACAATTTGTAAGACTTAAGAAATAAGCTTTAGTAGGATTAAAAAACATATCATTTAGCACTTATGGAAATGATAGTGCTATCTATCTGAAAAAATGTTGTGAAATAGCATTCAGTTGTATAGTCATAAAGAAATTAGCGTTCCTATGGTTTCTTTGGTGTCAGAAATACAGTTTATTCTGCAGCTTAGTAAGAACTAAAATAGAAAAAAGAAACATACTTCATAAATACAGTTTTAAATAATAACAAAAATAGAGAATGTTTTTCACCTCCAAGATAAGCCAACCAAACACATCTAACAATTTATAAGATAAGTATAGAATACTATAATGATTTTTAAATTTGTTCAGTTTAAAAATAAGATCTAAAAATTAATATTTTTCTCCAATAAAAAGTCATATTGATGGATTTTTGGCGTGTACCCAAAACACACTTTATTTTCCTTATCAAGTTGATGCAATCTCAATTATCCTTGACACTCCTTAAACTGATTTTAATATAAATTATTTTATCAAATGAATGAAGAAATAAATGTTAAAACGTAGTTATGTTATAAATATAGTATTTAATAGTCAATAATATAGTATAGCTCACATCAGGTAAACATTCATCACAATAGCAAAAGTCATCATCGCTTTGCTCTTTTGTTTTTTTATTTCTCCACCTCTTTAAGCGCCACCAGTCTTTCACCCATTGCCACTCCATTACAACTATCACTACAGTCTACTATCACAATAAAAAACAATGATAAGGTTACACATAAATGATTGGCTCTCTACTATATGATAACCAATGTCTGACATCAATTAACAAGTTAACTCACTTGTCATTGTCATAAGATCCATTTGTGAGTTTGTAACTATTTTTCCCTCCCCACCACATTTTATTAAAGCATAGTTTTATTTAATATGACTTTCCATACTCACTTATCAGTGTACATATTATCTTTATAGAACAAATTTATTTAGCATATTTATTTTGTAGCACTAGATATGTACACTGTGACATAACACTTGGAAAACAAGGCCATTACAACTTGTTTAAATGTATTCAGTGGTATTATTATTGTCGTACGTAGCGCATTGTTTTAAAAATATTAAGTTTGTTTAATTTGATGTTTTTAATTACTATCTCGAGGACCGACTGCTGGTATATTTTAGTATACTGTGCGTAATACTTACAGGTGATCTTATTGGAACAAGATTTCCGTCGTCACCAACGTAAAATTGTGGTTGTGTAGCTTGCCGCAACCCTTGATAGCCATGTTCGAGTTCAGTGTATGACATTACCTACAATCTACATATACTGGAAATTTTCTTTGTATATAATTTAAATATTTTTGTTCACATACGTCATACACCAAGATATTGTTATATTTAATATATATACTCATAAATGTATGACGAAAATAAAAACATGAGTACAAGATCGATCATTGAAGATAGTTTTCAATTGTTAATGACATTAATAAAAGAAAATGACGTACACATAGCTGGTATCTTGACAGTTGCTTGACAGTTACACTAAAGCAGTAATACCGACAATTAATAACAGTAAGACAGAAAAGAAATTAAAAAATTCACTTCCGGTAAAAAAAAATATTTTTATACATTTCATTAATTACATTAAGATTATACAACATTTATTAAAACCGGTTTAATCAAGTATCAATTTTAGTGTCAACAGTTTCGGATGTACTTGACAGATGTCAGTGTCATTCAATGTGAATATTATTGCCGTCATCATGTTTTAAGTGTTTACTTTATTTAAAGTTTTTCTTTTTATATTAATAAGGGTTTTTTTTTAAATTTCAAAGCTAGGTACAAGTGAAATCCAACATGACCGAAGAATATGAAATACTGTTAAACTTGAGCAACGAATCATTTTGGGAGGCTATTTATATTTTCATTAAAAAGCCTCACCTTGTAAACAAAAGATTATGGGGCTGTAATATACTAGAAAAGATCACAATCGAGTCTGCTGCTAATCTATTTAAATCATTTGAGAATTTAAAAATTGATAATATTGATTATGATAAGATATGTAAAAAAATACTGGTACCTCAAGGTTCAGATTATAACCACACACCGCACTATGAGGTTCTTATAGTCGAACTTTTACCAAAAAACTACGAGGAAAAGCACGCATATCATCTCGTGATCGTGGATCGCCAAAAAACAAGTGTTGCGTTTTACGATATAACTAAGCACCATCAAAACCTTTGTCCTAATTTTACTTATGACTTTACTTATAACGAAAATAAGTTACTATTAAAAACCTACGCCGGTAAGTGAAATTTTGACAACATAATTTCACTATATTTATTAAAATTTGTCTTAAAATTACTGAAATGTTACTTTAGGTAATCCAAAATCTACAGCTTGGTTAAAAGATACTGTTTTACCTCAAATTGTGCGATGGGCACAAGACACTGCAAAAGAAACACATAAGAAGATATGTAAAGAATCTCTCAGTATGATTGCCGCTGACAAATATTATGTGAAATATAATGAGCTTAAAATAAAGTATGGCAAAAATCTAGTTAAGGTAAAGTTCCCTAGATTAATTATTTTTATTACTTTATAATTAATATATTATTATTACTATTTTCTGTTGGAGATACCAATAGTGGCCAGATGATCAGATACATATATTTTTTCTACTTTCCTATTCCCATTTTTGAAATCATAAAATATATTAACAAATTCTTGCTGCACTCAAAGTTACTAAGGAGATGAATTTTAGTGAGAATTTAAGCTTAAATTATAATGTTTCCAGATATGGCCTGAATGTACAGATCCATCTAAATTTGTTTATGAAGATGTAGCTATAGCAACTTACTTATTATTGTTATGGGAAGATGAGGAATCACAATCCTTTGTTGATGTTGGCTGTGGGAATGGACTGTTGGTGTACATTTTGACAATGGAGGGTTACCAAGGAGTAGGTGTAGATGTAAGGAGAAGGAAAATTTGGGAAATGTATCCAAAAACTGTTGTACTCGAGGTGAGCTTGATTTTTAGAATGTTAGAATATTTTTCTTGTTATTTTTGCATGGGGTAACTTTAATATTTAATAGTTTTATAGATTACAGATAATTAATATAGAATAGACCATACAGTACTACTTTGCCTAAGCCAAGAATAACTCAATCATTTAAGCAGACTTCCAGCATTAATATTTGTAGAATGAAGTTAATTTTGTCTTTTTTTTCAGGAAACAACTGTAACCCCATCAAATATTAGTAGTTTCTCAAAATATAAATGGATAATTGGAAATCATTCAGATGAATTAACTCCATGGATACCTATTATAACAGCATTAGGCTCATATAATAATAAATTTTTCCTCCTTCCTTGTTGTGCATTTAACATAGATGGCACAAAGTATAAACGGAAAGATTCTTCGAAAAGTCAATATACGGAATACCTAGAATACGTTCAAGCACTTTGTAAAGATTTTGGATTTGATGTTCATGTTGACAGGCTGAAAATTCCTAGTACTAAAAGAATATGTCTTGTTAGTAAGAAGAGGATTTATCCAGAGCAAGAATATGAAAGTTATTGCAATTATATCAAAGAATCCCTTAAAACAGCATTGAGAACGAATGGAAGTCCCGATGATTTTAAGACAAGAGAAAAAGTTGAGAGAGTAAGGAATTGTACACAAATCAATAAGAGCATTATAGATTCAATAGTCAAATGTGTGTCAAATTATTTGCTTGCTGGGTGTAATAAAGACACAGCCTGGACTGAGGGAAGAGAAGTAGAAATGTCTGACATTGTTAAACTTATACCTGCTGATATGTTAAAAGTACTAAAGTCAGAATGCGGTGGACTACAAACACTATTAAGAAATAACCACCATATATTCAAAGTTGTCAATGGCAAAGTTCAGTTTAGATATCCTAAGACCATTGAAGAAGTACAAGATAATATTAAAAACAAAAAGTCCAACAACACTAGCCTCAAAACACAAGTAAAACCTTGCTGGTTCTTCAATAACCATCCACACGGTTGTCCATTATCTAAGGATTCATGCAGTTTCTTACATGTATATTCATGACAAACAATAAAAAAGTGAATATATATAAATATTTATTTCTCCCATAAAAAAGTATAATAACTCTTGTTGTCTAGCCTTTTATTATATTTAAGAAGATACCATAAGCTATTATTAAAACTTAATCCCAGTAACAAACCCATATAAAAGGCATAAAAATTTGTCAGTATTACTTAAAACATGTCATCACCCGGTATATTACCTATATGTTACTGATACAATAGCTTTTGGGCTTTTAGCCTTCTATGTTAAAGAACTTGTTCAGTTCAGTCAAGTTTCTTTCATCTACTAATTTAGCGGCATCATGCTCACCCATGTATGAGCAGACCATTCTTAAAGTGGTCCATATAGTAGATGAACTTGTGTCAGCTGATGATGTATCTGGGTACATCGCCTTTGCCTTATGCTGTTGGTTCAAAGCCACTAAGAAATGCTCTGCCGCCTCTCTATGAGCCTTCAAATTCATACAAGTTATGCCTACATTGTATCTTGCCCTGATGAATCCAGGCTCTAAATTCAAAGCTTGTTGGTAGGCATCAACTGCTTCTTCGGATTTATCACTGTTTGCTAGTGTGGCACCTAGCCTGTTCCATAATTTGGCATTTTCAGGTGCAACCATCAGTGCTGTTTTAAAACAATCAACAGCTTTGTCATACTGTTGGTTAGCATTAAATATTACGCCCATAGCATTTTGAACATCGGGATCTATTTGTGATGGGTTTAACTGTACAGCTTTTAAATATTGTGACATAACATAAGATTCTAATTGTTTTAAGTTCATTTCCTCAGGTTTAATATCTAGTGGACATAGATCACTATATTTTGGACTGGTCTTTAACCAATTTGTCAATGCTAAATATGCAAATTTAGGCATGTTTTCATTGGTGTAGGCGGCAGCTAGAGTTATGTAGGCTTCTAACTGCCTTGGGTCAATAGATAAAGATTTCTTTAGAGCAGTAATTGCTAGAGGATCTTGTTCATTCTCGGCCTGTGTTGTCCCTAGTAGAAACCATGCCTCTGCAGACTCAGGTTGCTGCTGCGCTGCTGCTTCAAAGCATAACACTGCTCCAGGTATATCGCCCATTTTTAACCTTTCCTTTCCAAGTTCTAGAGGACTTTTATTTTCCAACATTACATTTCCTTCTGTGAATGTATACTCTTCGGGTATTCCATTTGCAGTTTCCGAGTCCCAGTAATCATTAACATCGCTTAGCTTTGCCCATTCGTCTTTATATTTTTCAGCCATTTCTTCCACCACAGCATCCTTATTTCGTTGCTCTCCTGTGTCACCCAAATTTAATTCCCCAGCACTAATTTTCTTCATAAATGACATAAATTGGTTATAGGCAAGTTCATCATCTTCCTTAACACTATTTACATATTCTTGTGCTTTACCACGCACATCAGTGTTTTCCATTTCTGACTCGTTTATGTACTGTATTTGTACATTTGATGTATGTGGTTGTAATATGGGTTGTTGTTGCATTGGTAACATTCTCATCATGCTTGGACCTGGTAGAACCATTGAGGGCCCTGACATCCATGGTGAATGAAGATTAGAACTGATATTGGCCATTGAACTTATTGTACCAGACGAGGAAGCTTTATTCAGTTTTTCAACTTCCGGTATATTATTAAGTAAGGCGTTCATGTTAAAAGTTTGCGGTGTCGGGATATTCTGAGCCATAAATTCGTTAACAAAGCGATCTGCTTGAGAGAGGGAATTTGCATCTCGACTTACAATATTAGATAATTGCACTAATGAATTGTTTCCACCGCAATCGCCTCCAACTAGCTTATTAAGAGACATATCGATGTGTATCGTGTCACGATGTTATAAAAGTAAAAAACAAGATAAGCGACGAGCAAAGGTCACAATAAACTAATTGTTATAACTTCACGACAATAGCTTAAGCCATTTTTTAAACAGTTTAGATTGTATACGCAACATAAACTTAATATAACAATCATCCAAATAATCAAAACATACAATCTTTTTTTAATTCCTCTTCCTTTCCATAAGCAATTTTTTTAATAATATTATGCACATATGTAGTAAAGTACTCCTGTATTTACAAGTTTACAACTGACGATTGACAGACAGATTTGTCATCTTGTTGTAATTGAAAATAATAAACATCGATTGTCACAATATATTTGTCGATTTGAATATAGTCCTATATTTGAATTTTTTTAACATTAATTTGTGAAGTAAATAAATTAAAAAGCGTTAATTTCATAATTATCTTACCTAATGCTTATTTCAAATCCTTTTTGATTTTTTACTAAAAGGATTGATGAGGACAACAATAAATTTATTTAAAAAATCTATTACAAACTTTGACAGACTATCGATGATCGGTCTAGAATGAATGATCATCGATAGTTTTTTTTTTTTTCTTTTTTTTTTTTTTTTTTTTTTTTTTTTTTTTTTAAAAAAATTTTCCCCCTTTTTTTTTTAAACCAAAAAAAAAAAAAAAATTTTTAAAAAAAAAAAAAAAAAAAAAAAAAAAAAAAAAAAAAAAAAAAAAAAAAAAAAAAAAAAAAAAAACAAAAGGGGGAGGGGGGGGGGGGGGCGATACCATTAATTGTCAGATCCTATTAAAGTCGAATATTTCTAAAACAGCTGATTCTTGATACTCAGATTATTGAGATTGGAAACAGCATGTTTACATTTCTTATTGAAAATAACTGAACATTTGACAAGAAAACATTAACATTATTTATCTTCAACCCAGTTATAACTAAGTACATGTTTAGTTTACAAGAAAACAGTTGACATAATTTTGTACGTATGTACGAAAGAGGTTATGTAACGAATTTAAGAAATCATAAATTAAAAAGTACGTAGATTTCATTTTAAATATGATGGCTCAGGCAAGTGAAGGTAATGTGAAGGGACAGGAGAAAATTGAGGCAGATGATAATAAAAAACCGGTTAATGTAGAAAAAAGTACAGAAGCTGAACATGAACCAAAATTAGAGGCAGTTGTGGAGGATAGTTGGCTGGTTAGTAAACATATTGATATTTGTTTAGTTTTATATAGAAAATGTAATAATCTCAACTTTTTTTTTGGTGTGGAAATTTTACAGATAGTTTTATACTATATTAAAATTTTAACTCGAGTCCACTCTCCAAGTTTCCTAATAAATTTCTATTTAAAGATTTGTTGCCGGTAATCTTGTATTAATCAACTATTATACAATACTACCTATCTACGTATATAGCACATATTCTTCACAACTTCTATAAAACAATATTTATCATATAGCTTTTCACACCATTTTTAAGCTTTAAAATGTTACTATTTTTTTACAGATACGGGATTGTGAAGTATATAGTGATGAATATGATGAATGTACAAGTATAAGAGCTAGATTTCACCAATATTTTATTTATGGTGAATCCCTCGACTGCAACCAGTGGAAGAGAGATTATGACAATTGTTGTAAATGGGTGGAAAATAAAGATGTAAAAGCTGGTGTAAGTGAAAGAAAGTGCTTCAGTATATTATAAAAATTATGTACAATATACAAATTTTTAGTTTGGGTAAAGGCAAAAAACCAAATTTGAAAGAATTGTTAGTATATAGTATGACAGAAAAAAAATACAGGGTAATACATCAGTAATGGCATTTTTTATTTAGCAGAGAAAGGGTTGGCTCAGATATATTTCTCTAGTATGTTTTCTATGTGATGTATATAAAAATATTTTTCTTATATATAAGGGCAAATAACTGTAACCATTTAATATTAGCAATTTCTAGTTTACCTAGTCCATCTGTGTTACAGATAGATTACCCAACCAAAACTGATGATTAAAAATGCCTTTACACACTCTTAGCCACTTTGACTTTTATGTTGGTGTTAGTAACAACTAAACCACCATGATGGCATGAGATAGACCCCAAGATTGTATTATTTTATTTATTCTAGAGAGTATATGGATATTTGTAGTGTATGAAAATTTTTAGGATGGCAGATGAGGTGACCAAACTTCTTTCTTGTCACCCCTAACCTCTTATTCCTTATATGATGTGTCAGCCAAGGACAACTTTTCACATATGGAGACAAAAAACTAAATAATAATAAACACATGTACCAATAAGTGTAAATATTATTTGATTTTATTTTACAGGAGGCACTTATCAAGAGTGAACAAGCGCGCCGAATGGAGCGGTTACGAGCTCACTATAGAAATGATGTGTGGAAAAAGCGAGATTCACCACCAGAAGATTGGGCGGCACCCCTACCTGAATGGATGGCCAAAAGAGATGAAAACACATACTTAGCACAAAAAGCACGGGAAATTAGAGAGGGAACGGAAACAGAGGAGAAAGATAGCTCGTGTTCAATTATGTAGTATTCGTGTGGGTAGTTTGAAATATGCAACTTTTCAATTTGAAATGGAAACATTTTTTTAGTTGTATACATATTACAAAGACAATATAACTCTATACCTCTGTGATGTGATAATCAAATAAAGATGAGGTTTATACAATAGTTGTGTATGGTTGTCAGTGATGTATATGTTGTATTAATTAGATAATAATAGAAAAATTGATTATTGTTGTCACTCTTTCATTTTATGTTTTACGATTTACAATTCACTGTACTAGGATACAAGGATAATGATTTTAAATTTGACGTGTGTTTTCTATCTATAGGCAATTACCAGTGCCGGTAGGTTGTGATAGATTAATGTCTAAGGCACTGTTAAAAAAAAATTCAAGAAGATCAATTATAAAGTTCTTTATAATTCGTCTTCTTGAAAAGAAAAAAACTAACGTTCTTTTATATATAAGCTATAGTTTGCACTAAAAGAAATCTCAATGAAATTAAAAATAATAATCTTTAATATTATATACGGATTATGATGGAACCATATAAAATAAAAATTGCGACACGGACAGGAACTTGAACCGGTGTCCTCACCGTTCCGTGCTATTGCTCTAACCAATTGAGCTAACGTGCAACAGCATTGAACGCTGTGGACGCCGAATCAAGTCCTGTCCGTGTCCTACATTTTATTTTTCATTTAATAATCGAATATTAATACGTGAAAAATAATGTTTTGTTGAAAATTGCGTCTAATCCTCTTAGTAAGATTCTAGTACTAAAGAGATAACAAGGACTTTTCAGCTATTTAACAATTGCAAACGAAATTATCACTGATTGGAAATATCTTTCCTGACCCCGCAACAGAGTTATCAGGCCAGATAAGGCGACTATAATTATTTAAGTTAACAAATATGTTTTATCTGTTTGCTGCGCTCGCGCACAGTACTATTTGTTAAGTAATTAAGCCAGTGTAAAGAGCTACACCGATGAATCGTGTGCTGTGTAGGTCTCTTTTGAACATCCGCATACGAGTACCGATGGCTAGGAACGCGTCTTACCTCATCGAGGACCCGAAGTATTCCTTCCTTAAGGATCTGGGCCTGGAGAAGACGAATGTTGGCGTGTTCAACGGAAAGTGGCAAGCGAACGGACAGGTATTTGATACTTAAATACAGTCTGTAGTTTACTCGAGTAGTACATATGTAAATTAAACACTTTGACGGTTTAAAACGCGATGTATATTAGCGGGGAGACGCACAGCCCGTGACCATGGCTGCTGAAAGCGTCTGAAACGTCGGGCCGTAGGTAAAATAATTTCCAAATAAGTTTAACTATAATACAATTACTTCCTCTATCAAGGATCAAACGTTGCCTACAATGGCGGGGTTTCTAGATTTGAATCTCGGTGGTAATTTTGTTTTGGCCATACACAGAAGTCAAATAAACTTTATAGATTAAAAAAAAAAATACCAGTGTCCGGAGATAGAAATGTGTTCGGACACTCGTAAAGGATGAAACCTAATTTTAGTGACATTTGGTACATATGATCATAGCAAAAATAGATCGATAGCGCAACTTGCTAAGATGTTATATGGTTGGAATATTTTACCTTCCATGATAAGGAAGCCCCATGCTTCGCCTCCTCTATTATAAAAAAATATACCGACAGTCGCATGTTCACGCCCAATCTAGATGTAATTTCATTGGTGTTCCGTTGTTAGGTAGAATGTTGTAATAATGTTTGTCTGACCTTGGTAATGAATTAGGGTATATCAGTTATTGATAGGCAATTTTATCAATAGGCTTATCACACAATTTACGAATATTGGTCAAACGTGCCAAATATTATCGTTGTGGTCTACTAAGTATTTGAAATTTTCCATTTGTGTGACAATCCTTTTAAAAATAAAATAAAACCGTTTATTTTCTCCTATTCTTCATATGAAAGAATTATATGTCCTCAGACATTCCCTTCTTCCCATTTGGAGGTCTATTTCGGACCTACTTACAATTTGACTTTTTTATGATAGAGGAGACACACGAGCACAGGGTTCACATAATGGTAGTAGAAATAACCCAGCCACAAAATATCTAAACTTCACGACTTTTCCATCTTTGGACGGTGGTTCGGGAGTCCGGCGGGTATTTTGATGTTCCTACCCCCCATTTAATATCTAGATTTCCAGATAAACCGCGTATGTTACAGAAAAAATAGTAGAAAATCCTTCTATTATACATATATTTTGGTTTATTAAACCGTTTATGCAACGGAAAGCCTTCGAAAGTGAATAATTTTCCTCGTTTTTTTCCAAATTTTCCAAAATGTAGCAAAATTGAATATTCATAATTTTTTAATTCGAACTTTTCAGTACTTTCTGACATTAGCGCGTTTAAGCAATCTCCTCAGCTTTATAATATTACTATAGTTTTAATAAGCTTACACGTAGAGTACGGGCTCATCATCACTACTGTCCACTCTTCTCAATAATTACTTTTCTAATTTCAGATAATCCAGTCATTCAGTCCAGCTAACGGTAAAGTGATAGCCGAAGTTCAAGCCGGCAGTTCTTCAGACTATGAAGGATGCGCAAAGGCAGCGGAGGATGCGTGGCACGCATGGGCGGAGCTCCCAGCGCCAGCGAGGGGCGAAGTCGTCAGGCAAATTGGAGATGCACTGAGGGAAAAATTGCAACCATTAGGACAATTGGTGTCTTTGGAAATGGGTGTGCATATTTATTTATATATTTTAGTATGCCGCCTCGTCTTAAAATTGAAGAGCTATCTATACTATCACTATACTACTTAACGCCGAATTACTGAACCGATATAAATGAAACTTGAGCCCGAGAAAAAATGCTCTTAATGCCAAAAAGAGTTGTTGGGGCTGACACGGTTAGACGTGCCGAAACTATAGGCTGGCAAGCCGATATAAATGCCAAACCTGAGCCCTGGTCAGAGAAGAATATTGTTGATCGGCTTTAATTGGGGAAGTGGGAGGGCCCATCCATGAATTGCCACCTAACGGAAGAGTTACGCCACTGACAAGGATATAAAAGTTTGTATTGAAATCCGTGATTTTGGAAGTTAGAACAATGAAACTTTCTTCTTTGGCTTTTTGGGAATGGAAGTGAGTTTATGAGTGGGAGTTAGAGTAGGAATGATGTGAGGTGAGAGTGGAAGTGTGGTGACAAAGTAGCACTGACAACACAGATTGGCTGCCTTGAATGCGCCCTTTTCAATGACATGCATTGTAAAAACATTTGTTGTACAAAAAAAGGTAGAAAGGGGTGGAATGAGAGATGAAAAGTTGTGTAGATGTATCGTAATAAATTTTTATAGAAGTCTCCAATATTACAAATTCGAAAGTAATTCTGAATCACTGTAACAAATTTACACTTGTGTCTTATTAAATTTATAAAATGAATAAATAAACCGAAAATATTTTAAAACCTAAACTACCCAAAGTCAGTACCTATTTCACGCGGACGAAGTCGCGGGCACAGCGTGAAGTCCACACAGAAAATCGTGAAATCCACGTCCAGTTTTTTGGGGTATGGTCCATTTAGTTTTTACGAAGATATATAACATATTATTGAAATATACTCACCTTTATGTAGTAGGTGATTTGCGGGTCAATGCACTATGATAGTGCAACATAGTATCTAACCTTTACGTGAATGTATAAATATTGCAAAAAGATAGGAGTCGCCATGTGTATTTAGCAATATTTTAAGATCTAGAAGAACAGACTAGTTTAGTTATGATAAAAATCTATAAATTGAAATAAAATAAAAGGCTTTTTTAATCATGACGTGCCAATAGTGGCTTATATATTGTGTAGACTGGGTGTTATTTTAGCTATCTGTAACTTAACTCATAGTATTTATAATAACAGGTGTAATTGTGGCTCTTGTTCACAGGAAAAATCCTTCCCGAAGCGATCGGAGAAGTTGTTGAGTACATTCACGTATGTGACCTCGCGCTGGGCTTATCCAGAACGCTACCAGGAACCATCTTCCCATCAGAGCGTCCAGGGCACGTCCTTATTGAAAAGTGGAATCCCCTTGGAGCCATTGGAATAATAACAGCTTTTAACTTCCCGGTCGCTGTATTTGGATGGAACAGCGCAATTGCCATGGTAACTAAAATTATTTTTTTAAATGTTGGTAGTGAGTAGATAATTAAAATAAAACGCTCACGCAGCCGTGGTACGGTCTCTCCGTTACCATGGCTGCTGCAAAGCTTTTTGGGGTTCCTGTAATATCAAAGTACGACGGAACAGATGGCGAGAGCGTAGCAGTTTTTACGTAAAATTATTAAAAGTTTTAAAGTTAAGGTTAACTAATATATTTTGCAAGAAGCAAAAAGTTTTGCAAAAAGGTTCTGGAGTGGAGACCACGTAGCGCACGTCAAAAACCTGGACGTCCCCCTACCAGGTGGACCGACGACCTGGTCAAGGTAGCGGGGAAACGCTGGATTCAACTAGCGAACGACCGGTCGTACTGGAAGTCTATGGGGAGGGCCTATGTGCAGCAGTGGACACCGAACGACTGAATCGATTATATTTTGCATGTTAAACCGTTAAAGTGTTTTATTTAGATGTTGGTTCTTCCTTGCGGCAGGAACTCAAAGCAGCGGAGGCTAATGAAACTTCCAGGGTATCTGGGACGTTTAGTGCCAGTTATCCTAAGACTACTTCATTATATAATATGTTCCAGGTGTGCGGTGATGTAAGCGTATGGAAGCCATCGGAAACCACGCCCCTGATTTCCGTGGCGGTGACGAAGATTGTGGAAAGTGTTCTAGTGAAGAACAACATCCCAGCTGCTGTCGCTTCACTTTGTGTTGGTGGTAAGGACGTTGGGGAACAACTCGTGAAGGATCCTAGAATGAAGCTGGTCTCTTTCACTGGCAGCACTGCTGTGGGACAACAGGTAATTAGTATTAAGTGTAAGAGCAGCAAGTCTTTTAACAAATTGTGTTGTGAGAAATATTATTAGTAGTTACTAGCTGTACCTGAGGGTACACTTTGTTGGGTGGAAGAAATGCAGATGGCACGGTCATTGGTTAAAAAAAACTGTTTTGTCGCGGTCGCGGATATATGACTAATGCAAAACAAATCAAGACAATCCTTGATGTGGATTATGCATATACATATATGTACTTAATGCTAATATTTCAGATCACACATTATATAAACTTTTAGAGTTTGTGAAGTATACAATTCCCGTTAAACTATGCAGAAACTTTAATGTAAAATAAATACTTTTATTTAAAATTTTTCCATATGCAGTTTTTTTCTCCATAACATATAATAGCGAACTAAATTTGCTGAACATCATTTTTCAGGTAGGCGTAGAAGTGCAGAAGCGATTCGGACGCCACCTCCTGGAACTGGGAGGAAACAACGCAATCATCGTCAACTCTGACGCGAATCTCGATCTGCTGCTAAATGCTGCACTATTCGCGTGCGCTGGAACAGCTGGACAGCGTTGCACCACTACCAGGAGGCTGCTTATTCACAAGAAAGTAAGCCTAGAAAATTTAAAAAACGAAAAAAATTGAAATATTTTGGACTCGGGCAGGACTTGAACCGGCATCGTCAGCGTTCCGTGCTGTTGCTCTAGCAATTGAGGTACCGAGTCAAGTACTGCCCGAGTCGAAAATTTTTTTCAATTTATTTTCGATTTTAAATTCATGTGCAATAACATGTAAAAAAATAATAAAGTTTTTACACAAGTTCACAGTTACAAATTCATTTTCACCTATTTCTATTTTCCTCTCTATTAGAAATCATGCTCTTATTATTAGGTCACTCTGCCTCTAGCAGCCTCATATATAGTATCAGCGAATGAATTTTTCGTATTATGTCATTTCATTTGCGACTTTGATTTATAGGTATACGGCGAAGTGGTATCAAAACTGAAGAAGGCTTTCGCGGGCGTCGTTAGCAGGATCGGTGATCCATTACTTAACGAGACCTTGATTGGACCTTTGCACACTCCAGCTGCTGTAGAAGCTTATAAGAAGACTGTTGAAGAAGCCAAGAAACAGGGAGGCACTGTTGAGTTTGGTGGAAAGGTAATGTATGAACATATAACAATTAAAACTAAGTAATTGTTTAAATAAAACACTTATAAAAGTTTAAACGCATGATATATACATTTTACATGGTTTAACGTTTCACAGCTGCTGCAAAACATCCGAAACATCAATACGTTATTAAAATACAGTTTAATTTACATATTTCGCGTTTTAAACCGTTTTTTTTAAATACTATAAACATAAATTGTCTCTTAACAATCTAAACAAAATTTAATTAGTATCAACTCAGAATTTTTTTGAGTTAGAAGTACGCAGGCCCGTAGCATAAACTTATTTTACTTACCACTTGGACATTTATCCATACACATGCATTTACATAAACATATCTTTATGTGAATGTGTGTGTACGTAACGATGTGTGTGTTTTGTGAGTGCATTAAACAAGATATCTCACAATCCTATGGTTTTTTTTTAATATATTAAAATAACATAAACGCCATTGTATAGGTGATGGAACGTGAAGGCTACTTCGTGGAACCGACGATCATCACGGGGTTGCCACACGACTCTCCCCTAGTCAAAACTGAGTGTTTCGCCCCAATCGTCTACTGCCTGGAGATCCCTGACCTGGACACAGGCATCAAGTACAACAACGAGGTTGAACAAGGCTTATCCTCCAGTCTGTTCACAGAAAACCTCGCTGACATATTTAAGGTAACGTCTACATAAAAAAGTGAAATTCTGTTTCCCCATATGGGGCACGGGGCCAATACATTGCTGTATACGCTCTATTGAATGATTTAATTTGCTTTTGGGCCCTAGCCGACCGTAACAATGTATTGTGCCACGAGAATTTTAATTCGGAACCTTTCGATGGTGTTACCATAATTTAGTTATTTCAATGGACTGGAATCGGAAACAATAACGTTCCATAGCTCTTACCAATTGACCTACCGTGGCGCACACTTCAATTTTTGTCTAATCTAAATAGATTTTTATTTTATGTAATGCCATGATAAGCAATAATAAAATGTGTATTAAAGTTGAAACCTTTAACATTTGATTTCGTTGTAGCGGCCACAGAAATAAATACTAATTATAAGTATGTAATAATTTCAACTTGAGTTACAATTTGTAATTCAAAAGACCGTGTTTTAGTTTACTGAACTAAGATTTCACTAGAGTTCCGTTTTTAGTTACTGCGTATGGAACTCTAAAACTGACCAAGTGAAAATACTTATAGTGTATTTTTTTATGTAAATATCAAACAAAAAAAACCTGTTCATTTACGCAAATTCATTTTTGTTTTGTAGTTTATACTATGTGAATTTGAGGTAGTTTTTATAGTTTAATATATAATCTAGTCTCATACAGTGTTTTTAGTGTCAATTAATGTAAACATTTTGAGAAAATTATGATTTCATGTAAATTATGTGTTTGTTTACAAAAAATGCCAAGTTAGCAAAAATACACTATAATTATCCTTATTATGTATTCTAGTGGATCGGTCCACACGGGTCAGACTGTGGTATCGTCAACGTAAACATACCGACAAACGGCGCGGAGGTGGGTGGTGCTTTTGGTGGGGAGAAGGCGACTGGGGGCGGTCGGGAATGCGGTTCAGACAGCTGGAAGAACTACATGAGACGCTCCACTGTTACCATCAATTACTCAGGCACTATCAAACTGGCGCAGAACATTAAGTTTGGTGATGAATAAATTCAGAACGATTACTGTTAAGTTCAGTAAATTAAAATGTACACGTCATGTCAATCTAATATTATAAAGACTGATAAATAAAACTAATATAATGTGATTCTATTACTTTTAATAAAATGTATACGCAGTATAAAAAAATATTTTTATTTTTTATTTCATGTTTAAGTAAATAAATAAAAAAAATAGATTGAAAATAATTACGACACGGGCAGGACTTGAACCAGCATAAACAGCGTTCCGTACTGTTGCTCTAATCAATTGAGCTACAGTATCTTACACGTCATCGTCGATTTTTTCAACCTATTGGTACATACACTTCTCGCGCAATTGAATTTGATTATAACGCATAATTATGAAATTACAATATTCTTGTTTTTTGTTATAAATGCGAATGATGTAACCTCCATAGATCAACCGCAATGTCCTTGGTCTGTTGTTTATGGAATTTATACGTGGATGGCAGATTATAACGTAACTCCGCTATAACACTGCCTTCTACCCCCCACTCCTTGACTTTCTTTTGTATATGGGATCTGAGAAAAACATAAATTACTTATTAGCATTTCAACGTATTACGGTTAAAAACGGACTGGCTGTCTACGTTTGAGTTAACAGTTATTTCAGCGCTGGTGGAAGAAGGTAAGGTGTGGAGTTTACGTGGTACTATTTAAAAGCTTAGTTATTTAAAGTTGCACTGGAATATACATAATTCCAGTTTATTGCAACTGATTTACTAGACTGGAATAATGTAAAGACTTTTAGCTTTAATGTTACCAGAATAAAAGAAGGGAAAGAAAAAGAGATTCTTTTCTTCTGATATGACCGGTCAATTTATAAAAAAATACTTATAGTAGCACCTTCTTAGTGTATATATTTGAATAGCTTTCTTATTACTTTATATCATGTGTAATACAAATCTTCTGATTAAATAATGGCTGTTACAATATATTTATAATAACAGTATTACTTAAGCTAAAGGTTAAAAAGCAAATGTACCTTGTTGTAGATTTATGTAGTGAGTAAACACTGTCGCTACTAAGAGCAAGTCCCATTTTAAGAAACTTCATATCTACTCCAGCATTATTCTTGGTGCCAAATGGTGGGTTCATAATAACTGTGTCAAAGTAATTTTCACATCTGAAATTACAAAGTTACATTGTTATTTAACCCAAGGCTTAAACCCTCTGAACTATAGTGGACTAGTCAGCAAGTCATGTAGTGGAGTTCTTAATGGGATACCAATTGAAGGCGATAACTATTTTCTAGTATTAATAATTTTAGAGGCACAAAAGTAACAAAAGCTTTAATATTAGGAATAGGAACTTGCATTCCACATTGAGATAATCGTCTACAACTGCCAACAAAAATTTTTAATATGGTTTGGCCCCTGTATACTAAATACATACAACTCCTTGTTCACTGACTACTAAATATTTATATATATATATATAATTGCTATAAATTAAGTACAGTATTTTCTTTCTATTAAATAAACATACCTAAACATATCATGTGAAAGAAAATCACACTGAACAACATCAATATTGTCAACTCCTGTGTCTTCTATATTTTCTCCAAGTACATTCAGAGCTTCTTCATCAATATCTACAGCCAATATAGCCCCTGCACCAAGCAGTGATGCTCCAAATGACAGCATTCCAGGACCACAACCCGCATCTAGTACTAACTTATTTTCTAACGCTTCATATTGTGTCTGTAATTTAAAATACTCTGTTTATTTTGTTGTCTATGTTCATTTCTGGTAAAGTACTAAAGATTACAGATTCTTTATGATTGAAGATGATTTCAAGTTCACTTTTACATAAAAACATTCTGAAATTAATTTTGGTAATCAACACTTAACCTGCACTGTGTAAAGTGCCACTGCAGCAATGTGCGAAGGAGTTTCATATTGTTCATATTCAATTTTGGGTTTCGAGAATCCAGATAATGATCCCAGGTGGCCCTCCAAGGTTTTCAACTTCATAACAGCACTCATTGTTTATTTTCAAAGCGAGGTAGCACTGGCAATATTTGGTTTCCAAATGATGAGTCTTGCGACACAAAGTAGCCACAGGATGTCGCGTTGGCGTGTTGTAACGCTGCTCGGTGGCTTGTGTTGACTATATTTGCTTCTGGGAGTTGGGGAAAGCCCTGGAATTCATAAGCCCATATTTAATATAAGAATGCCTCTGTCTTGAGTTATTAAACATAGCACAATTTAGCATGGCGTAAGCCACAAGAGTTCCTGTGTGTGTGCAGTCTCGAGAAACCTTAGGTATTTATGTATTTAACATATCTGTTTAAATATAATATACCTGATATTTCAAGTGTAATGTAAAGCAAAATTCATTAGCATTACTTTATAGAACTTAATACATTTATTAAGAAAAATACTACAAGGTACTTCATCTTATAGAAACATAGCTAAACCTAGTGAATTGAACAATATCATTAAAATTAATTTTCTATAGCTTAGCTACTACTTGAAATTAGATCATCATTATGTTGACTTACAGCGGTTGCAGAAAGTGGAGGAATAGAGCACATAGGTAACTGACTAACAGGGCTTGGCTGAGTGAGAGATATAGTTGTCGCGGTAAGGGGAGCCACTGCACCCTGCTTCAAAAGCATCTGCTTTTTCAACTGTAATTCTTCCAATATCTTCCGATTTGTTAATTCTGAAAATTTAAGGCTGAATGGCAGAGACTATTCAACTCGTTTATAGTTGTCTTTCATGATATAACCAACTGGAACTAACCTCTCTGTGCATTAGGCTGAGGAAACGCCATCTAATAAATTATGCGGATAATATCGGGAATTTCTTTTCAGAGATATAGAATGTTCTTTAAAATTTGATATTTATTTAACAATAATCAAGATAGTATAGTACTAAGTACACACAACAATTAGTGACAGATACAAATTGTCAATGTAAAATTATAATGTCAATTGTCATTTAATAACGAGGGCTGAGTAAGAGGCATAATATTTGTGTCCGCTTTGAAAAATTTATTGAGTTTTCACGTGATATTCGAATACCAGGCCTGTGCACTAAATTTATATGTACAAGATTACTTTTGTGGCGGTCTAAACTGGTACTTATTGCTTCTCAATTCCATAGAAAGTAAATTGACATAAAAAGGTTTCAGCCTCTTTTCAGTTGCAACTTTTCAAGTTTACGGGAGTGAAATAAAATACAAGCCTTATATAAAAGCATTTATTTTAAAACAATGTAGGTAATATACTTCTGATTCTTGGCAAAACAGTCTCACATAAGCAAGTCAACATTTGGCCTCTCTTAAGAATAACATAAAACTAAAAACATGCGCTGCCGCAACTCGCAAATTAGAAATCGTAAAATAACCATACAAAACGTCGTAATTGAATTGTCTACATCGTTATTAACATTGCGTCGTTATTGAGCAATTAGATTGATACACTTGTAAATAACTCTAAAAAAAGAGAATAAACATTATACGAATTGACTCACGATATCAGCAGTATTATATAAAAATCCATCTACCATATCCTTATAATATTTTCTTCGCATGCAGACGTTACAGTCCACAATGGGTTTGCGGTTACCGTATCGATAAAATTTGAGAATAAATGCACAACAAAAATAGAATTCAAGTTGCCTTTGTCTTTTACGATTACAAAAATATTTATATAACAATTTAGAGTAGAAATAATTATAACAGTTTCCTTATAAACAATTTGGAATAATATTGCACGAGCTCAAAGCTAAATCATTGTGTGCATCTTTCATAAATACATCATATAAATATATCAACAAACCAACACAACTCGTCTTTGACTCATCGGCTCTCGTCACCGGCGGGACGGAGCAGAGTGACATATAGCCCCCCCTTTCTCGCATTCGATGTGATCTATATGCCGTCTCGCTTGTATAAAAATCACATACAAATATATCCTAGCTACTTAACGAACCCTGTGATGTTGACCTACTTTACTCGCACCGTCGCACCGTGCAATCGCCCCGCCCCCGAGTTGTCTTAGACAACCAGAAATATATTTACAAAATTTTAACAATAAACCGCCTACTTTACTTAACACGAAAATTAATTTGCTAATAATTTTTAGAAGATAAATTTATATAATTTTTAATAAAATTTCCTAGTCTTATCGATACGAATACACCTAGTAGGCTACGCGAAGCGATTACACCGTGCGAGACTATATCACAATAAACGTGTTGATTTGTTTCGAGTTAATTCACAGCTCAGGAACAAACACATTCTGGACTAAATAAAATCTGAAAAATGATAACAACATGTTTTAAGACTAGCACATAATTTTGGCACAACGCGGCACCCGCGCCGCGGTTCGAGTTGTTCTTATTTACAGTTCAAAGATTTATTGCTCAGTGAGTTATAACTATTCAATAGACTATAACAAGGGCTTCACAAACATATTCTATCATCTATGCTTTAGAAATCTCGTTTTTATCATTTAAAATAAGCAAAGGAAAGCGATAGCGCCCCCACTTTGTTTTGTGCCCAATTGTGTCATGTTCGATGTATCGTTGCTTGTTTCATGAAACCCTAAACAGCGCTAGATCATATCCCACGCTGCTGCGGACAGCTGCCATTACAAATGCAAAGTATATAATTTTAGTTAAAAAAAGATTATAAATAGTAAAAAAAAATCTTATTTGAGTAAATAAATTCTCTTGTTCCTTTGCTCATACAGTGCTTGGCGAGCGGAGTGTGGAAATAATTGCAAATAAAATAATCATGAGTCGTGAGTATTTTACATTTAACACCCCCTAAGTTCCCACAGCTGGGACGGCGAAACCCTTAAGAAGAGCTTACAAAAACTTTTTGTTTCAGAATATGTCCTAAAACAAAAGGGGGTCTTAATTCCCAACGTCAAAAACCATTAAAACATGACACTCGTTTCTTAGCATACAGTCTAAAAGGGTTTTAAAACCAAAGCAAAGATTATGTTTGGGATCCAAATTTGAAACACAAATAGACAAAGTAACAATAATTGCAACATGTATCCGCAATTACCTCCACACCCCCCCCACATTGAGTATTATACCGCAACAACATTCTTATAATATCCAAACAACAGTACATACCTAACACTTTCCCTGTATAAATACACTAATATAGTCTTGTAAACGAAACCTGTGAAACCTCATAGGTCAGTAACACTACGCAAGAATTACGAAAGAGCATTAGGATACTTCTTCTTCTTCCATATCGCTACGAGTTAACTTATCATTTGGCACTAAATTAACATATTGCATCTCGAGCATTCGTAGTATTTCAGTTTAATAAATTACAATTAAAAGTATAGTCGCCTTAAAGGTTTTGGGTCTCGGTATATAGTTGAGTAAAAAAAAAAAACACCTTTGAGCAATCCCACGGGCCCCGACCGTTCGTCAGACAAGCCGGGCCGGCTGAACACAAAAGGGGTAATCGAAATAAATCATAGACAAGACGTTCGGCAAGTAAAAATTTGGCAATATTGAGCATAAGACTGAATTGGCGTAGATATGAGTGCCACTACGTAGCGTTCGAGTGACGTCTAGAATATTCTAATCTGGTAACTTATACGTAGCTACACCGCCATCAGGAGCGCTAGACACGTGCAGTGCGCAGAGGCAGACCGGACGAGCTTCGACTCTCGAATACTCCACGAATCCTTACCATAATAGAATAATTTTATTTACAATAAACAGACAAATATTTTACAGCTACAGTGTACTAAATAAGAGATCATAGTAGTTTGGAAACTAATTCGGTTTTGGTTAATATAATATTCGACTCGGCCCGTCGTGCGCGACGCCCGTCCGGTCCGTCCGTGCATTGGAAGATATGTATTAGAAGATCTTGTAAAACAAAATGATATGACGATTACACGATTATTATGAGGATTTGATCATTGTTCAAAAGAACCATATAAACGATCATGGACTTTAAGAGAATTCAGTTATTCACTAACTACGTTATAACAACTTGGTTAAAATAGTAATTTTAAAAATTAAAAAAAAATCGTTCTCTTTATCAAATTATAGTTAATAGTTATTGCTTATTTGATATGATAAATACATTCCAGTGCAGATGTGCAGAATGCTTTCACCGAATCGATATGTTGTCGTGGCGTGGCGAAATACATTTGACGGACTTGTTCAATGTTAGTGGCTATAGACAGGAGCGGTATAAATGCAGATGGTTCGAAAGAGTATTTCAATAAAGAGTTTTAACAAAATAATTTATAAAAAAACGTCAAATGTATTTCTAAGCCCGCGTTGAGCGCGGTGAAAGATAATCCAACTACTTAAACCCACCAACGGTAGCGTCTTTGCACTCGACGTTAACAATTCAGTGGTAAACGAACGTGGACCGTTCGTCGTTCGTTCGCAATGCAGAGACGCACAGCGAGTGGACACGCGTTAAAATTACGTAATAACTCTTAGATATATTTAAAAATATGACTCCATTATAAAACCAACACGATCACAGCTCTCCGAAAACCACCTAATCCAAACCTGACTCGCTCCAAAATAAATTCATCTTCACAATAATAACTATAAAAAAGAAATGACTACGATATATCTATGTTAGTTCTAGAATTATGCCATTTCGTTATAATTTGCGATTGCAACGGTCCCTCGTACGGCGTGAGCGCGCGCTCGAAAATGACTAACACTTCGTAAAACAAGGGAAGCGAATAGAGGAATTTGAAAACAAGCGGCAGTGTATCGCGAGAAATTCGTGCAAATAGAACCTAACTACGAAAAATATGTCTTAGGAACCTGATAAATTATTGCTAGAGCATCGCCGACACGAAACGAGATACTTCATAGTAGCCAATAGAAAAATATCACCTAAACAATAAATATGCATCGCACGACTCGATCCGCCCCTTCTGCCTACGCGACCGCCATCTTGTAGCGCTGGAACGCACTAAATAAGACGCCATGGTTATCGAGCGACTTTAAACCTTGTAAAATGCTTTAGGAGAGACATTTTGAACCTTCTTACTGTAAAGGTTGAAATTCACTATTCAGTACGTTTCAGCATTTACCGGAATTATGTACGTATATATTCCTTTCGTTCACAACTACAATAAATCCTTAGTGGAAGTCAGTTGTCTTGTGTCATTTTTGGTAAAGGCGCGTCTACACCAAAGGTACCCGTTTTCACCTTAAAGATTAGAGAAGGTATTTCTCAAATTGAAAATGCTCTTTACAAAACTCGTCTAAAATAGGTATATAGCTACCAACCTTTTATAAGAAACGTTTCATATAGTAAAGATATTTTGGAGAGACTAAAATTATAATAAGGTTAATAAAATAAATGAGCCTGTAGAAAAAACAACAAAGCAGGCTGTCTGACTTGATGATGTCGCAAAAAAAATGACAGATTATATTTTTTTTAAATCGAAAATAAATTGAAAAATTTTTCGATTCGGGCAGGACTTGAACCGGCATCGTCAGCGTCTACCAATTGAGCTACCGACTCGGTAGAGCAACAACACGGAACGCTGACGATGCCGGTTCAAGTCCTGCCCGAGTCGAAAATTTTTTCAATTTATTTTCGATTTTTAAATTATATAGTGCCTTCATGTGCGATAACATGTGAAAAATATTAATTTTTCAAGATTATATTTTATCAATCTGTTTTTTAAAAGGTTGCTAGACGATAAACCTATTTCTCCGAAGGTGTAAAACTTTTGGGTCCCTAGGCACGGACATATTTAGGAGTAACGCGTGCTATGCAGTGTGCGGATCAGTGCGTGTTGTCGTCATCACCCCCGGTCCCTCCTCGCCCTTCCCCACCCCCACCGCTCGTCCCGCTTCCTCCTGCTCCGCTGGCGCCACTGCCGCCACCTTTTGAGGCCTCGCTGTAAATAACATTTATGTGTGTCAGATCTGCATACTTGTTTGTAATAGTCTTGTATAAGAGAAGATTAAAATTCTAATGACATTAATGTTGTATTTAGACAATTTTAGAAGTATATTTTACAAAGTGGCATTTCACCATTGGCAATTAAGTCACAATATTAGGTTATTTTTGATCCTTCAAGCCGGAAATTAGAGATTGATGAGTGCCACATATGTAAAGTTAGACATATTATTAAAAGGCAAGGAACATACTAGTTGGAAAATGAAGGGCGCGGTGTAGGTGTCGGCGGATGATGTGGCGGCGGCGCATCGTCGCAAGGGGCTCGGCCCGCCGCACTCAGCAGATAGTTACTAGACTCGCTGAAACAGTTAGACAACCTGCTTCAAATTGTATTACTGCCTCAAGTCCGTCGATGTAAACCATTAGTAGAAAAAAACTTGATTATTCCTTAATGTTTTAATTACAGGTTTTGTTTCAACGATTGGTTAATTACAGTTTAAAACCTGAATATTTCAGTTTAACTTAAAGTGTAAGTGTTTTATTTTAATGTGTACTACTCGCGCACACTACAGACAGTAGTCATATTATGTGTTATTTGGAAAGAATATCGAAATTCCGTTCGGGCCATGTACCTCCGCCTACGGATGAAAAAGTTGAGAATTTTAATCGCCTTCATAATAATAATTTCCGTAATAATCTGTGGATTTCCGAATATCCAAAGCGAAAATACGTCGATAGCGCATCACGTCTAGAAGTTACGGCCGGGGTATTTTACCTCCCATCAAGTAAATAAATACATAAAAAAATGTACCTTCTTAATAATTTGAATAGGCGTATTAAAATCATATCGCATATACCTTTGCTTTGTTCATTTTTCTAGATAAAAAAAAAAACGCCCTCGCAACGGTTATCAGCGTCGTAACTCTTCAGACGGCCCCATATCGTGACAACCTCGACAGTGATCGCGAACAACCATTGCCACATTTCGACACGATAACGAGACTAATTAAAGTTTTTATATACATACGCGTCATAGACATAAATACAAAAGATCAGTATGAACAAAACAAATTAAAAAAAAAAACGGTTTAAACCGCGAACTATTTCACCGAAAACGCAGCTATAATATTTTTCGAGAGGTTAAAAAAAATCGACGTTCGCGTATGTTGTCACTATAGCTCGATTGGTTTGAGAGACAGCACGGAACGCTGTGGAGGCCGGTTCAACACCCCCCTCTCTTCGTTATCGGTATATGATCAGAGTGTAGAAATCACGCGAAAATACCATGACCACTCAACCAATAATATATTTACGTTTAATTAATCCGAAACCGCAGACACCGAGAATTGGGTTTGTGTCGTAATTACAGAACGCATTAATATTGATAATGTCTGTAGACCGGTTTGTTTCGGCGGACTCGTTGGTCTAATGGTAACAATAGCTAATAATACATGAATCGTACTTCGGATGTTACCGATTCCCAAAAGTCTACTGATATTTGTCTGAAAGTCTTCGTTTGGCCATCTCGTTATAAAAGGGTGGTAAATGATAAAGCCCAAAGATTCGATAATTTAGTGTAAATAACGGTAATTAAAATTTTCTCTTTGTCTCAATAATTAACGCTAGACTATGCCGTTTAACCATTCTGACAATTCAAAGCCTGTAAGTGTGATGGAAAATGTCATTGCCAAAAGTTCTGAATACATTCTGTGATCGGACAATAAGTACATAAAAGTAGTGAATCGTGTAGTGTAAGGTGCAGGACGCGGAGCGGACATGGTCCGTCGAGACCACCACCTACAGCTTACTCGGCAACATAGTATATATAAGAAGCACTAAAATGCGGTTAATTTTCCACGTATTTTTTAAAAAGTGTAGTTTCAATTAAATACTTGTATAACATAACTAGCTGACCTGGTAAACATTATTTTGCCCTATGAAGTATTTCGACGAAATTTGATTACCCTAAAAACGATTTATGTCAGTTAATACTAAAAGATAGACATGTAATGACGTGGGCTTCTTTTTGTCTCTTTAAAGTAGATTCATTATTTTTCTTTATAATACAATTTTTTTTGGGTATCTTGTACAGCTTTCTCGCGGCAACACTCCAACACCAATAATGTTCCCACTTTTCCCCACTTTCCCTGTTTCTTCGCTCCTAATAGTCGCATCGTGATGTAATATAGCCTAAAGCTTTCCTTGATAAATGGGCGTTTAAAGTGAAACATGCTCAAAATACGGTCGACAGTGCATTATCTGTAACCACGTGACCACGGCTCTCCAAGCTGTCCGAGCGTCGGGCCTAAGTTAAAACGGAATTTGTCAAATTTTAACTAGATATCGCTTCCTGAGACCGTTAAAGAGTTTTATACAAACATGCTCATCAGCTTATATGTTACTATTTAATTAGGTAAAAAAGAGGTGCAATTACCTGGCCGTTCTCATTCGAAGCGCCGCGCAATTCTCCTTGCACTTATACGCCAGCACCTGCTTGATCCGGCTCACTTCGACGTCAGGGAAGTGCCTGCTGACATAGGTGATCAGGGCGTGTACACGGCGTCTGTCCAGCGGGGGCTTAGTCGGCCTCGACTCCTGACCGGCGCGTGACCACCGCTGCCCCGTGACAGAACACGTCGCCAATTCAATGGGGGAGAACAGAGCAGCCGCTAGCCCCCTAGTCACCTTTCTGTAATCCCCCCACTTCACACCCCGCAGTAGATCCTCTCGAATTTCCACGCCTTCCCCTAGTTTTATCTGTGAAGAACCGAGTACGGTATTGAGGGTGTTTTTTCATCAGATTAATAACTAGAAGTACAGCGTTTCTTATTCACTATTAATGTTTAGATAGTTATTGGTATCATTTTATGTTAAATTTAACCCAAATAAAAAATAAAACAGCACAGTTTTGGAATTAGCCGATGAACATTCATTATGTTTTGTACAACGTTAAAACTATTTTTAAATGTATGAACATAATACAATTAAAAAAAGATTTTCTCTTAAGTTAGCATTGCTAGAAACAGTTGCAGAAGAGCTATGAAAATATATTTAGATAAATAGCCAGAATTGTAAAATTCCGGCCATTTGTCTAAATATATTCGCAAACATGAAAAATAGCAGTTAATTTACTGTAACTAGTCGATGACTTTAGGCTTAGTTTTATTGTCATGAATGCCTCTATATTTTTGAAATAAAAACTAAGAATAAATGTAGAATATCTATTATCATCTTATTTACAATAATTGTACTATAAACAAATTGTTTATAGATTAATTTTCAATGTTTATATGTACACTTTTTAAAGGTTGTGTTGTATGTATGTTAGTCATTTACGCTGAAACCGCTTCAGGATTTTTCTATATTATTTGTCTTGTCTTGTTTCAGAATGAAATACTCTGCAGCTACATATCCAAATTACGTCGATCTCAAACCATAGAAATATAATTTTAAGGTCACACTTTTTTTCGAGCGTAAACTTTGGATCCGCGGCGATTTTTTTGTGTTCCTGCGTCAGAGATAACCCGTGATAAAGTTTATAAGAATTTGAGATAATTCACGCAGCACTTACAAAAGTAACGCTCAATTCGATAGTGTGTCGTTCCATACAAAAAATAGACGAGTAATGCGCTATATCTGGTTTATAGCGAAAGATATCGAAACGCCGCAATTCGTGCCAAAGGTCGTATTCTATCTACCACTGAACAAAGCAATATTGAAATTCGCTATAGTCGAGCAGACACGCGACACATTTACATTCACGCCATTGCATGATAACAATTACCTAAATTGAAATAAATATGTATATAAGCAACCGTCTAAGGCAAAGTTTATTGTCGCTTGTAAACGGTACACTGTTAAACCCTAGCATTTTTATAGATATTGCGTTATTGCAATATAGGCTTTTAAAATTAAACTTACTAAGTTAAAAGTTTTAAAATTATTTAGATGAAGATTAGGTTTCACCAGGGAGCGTTTCTGGAATCGATTTTGTGTATTTTAAAAGAAAAGGTACATTTTTCATAACATACCCAAAATATAGGCAATTAACACTTTTTGTATGACCGGGGACATTATAATGAAAACATATCGGCTGGCTGCATATTGTTCTATAATTACAATGTGCTGCCGACTGATTACGGCTTTGCACATTCGTTGAAAATATAATGTAAATCAGGACATTCAACTACTTTTGCCACACGCGCAGCCCAACACGTTTAATAAAAAACTGTTGTAAAGGTTTTTAGTTCTGTTCAGCCATCGTTTTTGAGAAATGCTTCACGACAAGAGAAGTAAATATTATCTTGGCAAATTTATAACTTTACACATATGATCTAGACGAGGATCTTAAAGAAAATTTACAGATAACTCACGAGTCTTGGAGCTGGTGCGCGTTCGTTCTCTCTCTTTAGCACGAATGGCAAAGCGCGTCTATGTTGTTCCAGCCAGACAGCATCCGGGACAGGGCGGTTTCTACGACCGTCCCATCGACCTGAAATCACAAACGGCTCCTTATTAATGATTCGGCGACTAAACTCTGTAAAATGTCACATGCTTAATATTCGTTCGGCTATACGCTCTGGTCCTTCGAGCCGGGGTTGTATAAATTATTAGAGAGCTACGTCATATGTCTACTATAAAAACTATAATTTAAAAGAGTAGTATTAAATATTATTTGTACCTTTATACCTAACTTGCCTTGGCACTTACCATCCTTCCTTTATACAGACAAATTCGATTAAAATAAGTATAAATAACGTTAAAACAACTGAAATACATTTATAAATATGCTTATAAATAAAAAGTAAAGACTTCTCAAATTCTGCAATATTTTATTTGTATTTCGTAAAAAATTACAATGATCTATATACATACGTTAATTCTTGCAGAAAGAAATGATTATTGCACAGACGATATTGATTATATTGTAAATAATATTCTTTATAAAAATAAAAACTGTCATAAAGTGCTTTTTATAGAAACAGGAATTGACATGCGTCATACAATATACTTACAGTTTTGCAAACAATATTATACTCATTCTAGTGTATAATAGAACAGAAGGCATTATACATTTTATAAGGCTATCACGGCCATTTTGCAAAGCAAATAACCCTAGTCGGCCGAGCTGTTGGGCCGTCGTAATTGAGCAATGTTTATCAACGTTTCTAGTCATGAGGCATCATCCGGCTAGTCTAAGCGAAGAGTAGATCAGTCTAGCCGAGAAATGGCAAGTCACTCGTCATAACGAAACGTCGAAAAGCGTTTCTCAATAACGACGGTCGAAAAGCTCGAAATCCTAAGTAGAATGCATCCTGTTCTATCAAGTAAACTGTTATAGCAACAACTGCGATTCACTATAAAAATATATGTATTGGTCAATAAGAAAACTTAATGTAGGTAGTTAGATAACAAAACGTATTATTGTTAATAATAAGCAACAGTCTGCCTACACTTAGACGAGTTTAATCCTAATAGATATTGCCTAAGCTGATAAAATATTTTACTGAATGTACGGTGAATAAGCGAGCCATGCTTAATTATTCATTTTATACACGAAATAAGGGACACACATACGAAAGTGGCGTGTCATCGATTTAAGCATTAATATTTAATTATTTTATGAGAATAATTTTGTATAAATTTACATCCATATACATTGTAATCGTAGTGATATTAAGTAGAGGAAATTCCTAATTCTTTTCAATACTTGTCGAGATTTTTAGAAGAGATTTCTAAGTCGATTTGAAACTTAGTAAAATAGTATAAATTACTTATAGTAGAGAATTAATCGACCGGCGAAATAAGGGATTTCTTCACAAACTAAGCGAATCGTAACGCAGAAACTCGCTAAGATTTAAATAAAATTAATATAAATGCAAAGTAATTTAGAGATCATGGGAACTAAAAGATGAGATCTCGTTCAGACTCAATACACAATTAATACATTTTTACAAACTAATATTGTAATTCACAACCCTAATCATATCAACGTCATCGTTCCCTCTCAAAGGATGTTTTTAAAATGACTAGATGCTTTAAAATGGCAATTACGTTTCGAAGTCACGAAAAAATTAATACATTCATGAGAAAGTTCATTAAAATTATCGAATACACGAGTAAAGTTCCAAATTCTTAATAATAAAAAGCACGTGGTGCCCTCAGACTGGGTATTGTATGGCAACTTATCGACTAAAGGTGATAGCAGACACAGTGGTGACCTCCATTGTGGCAACAGGACGTTAAGGGGGTTTATTCAACTAAGTGATATATTATACTAGATTTACCTCGACTTGTCGAAAGTCGGGACCAATCTTGTATCATTTGTTCCTCTAACTATTGTATCAAGCAAGGAACGTCGCCACAACTTGCGACGGCCACGCAGCAAGTCTGCTCCGACCCTAACGTACAGCGTTGGCGATAGGAAATCTTGTCGCTGCTTCTCAATAATAACATGTGAGTTTGTACAAACTAAGACCGGGAGCCGTCCGATCACTCAACAATATAACATCTGTGTAAAGATAAAACTATTGTGTATAAAAATATTGCTTTGTTATTGTTGCCCTATTGTACCTATATCGACAAATAAAACGGTGTTCTCGACCCGGTCCAACGCGACCCATTCTAGATAAATGGTGAATTCTCGCGAGCATTGGACAGGAGCGAGCGAGACTGTACAGTGTATGTCTATATACAATATCGTGTAATCTGTAAATAATCTATGATAAAAATCAGCACCGGTTGCAAAAAATGTCTTAACAACGATCAGTCTATTGTCAGAAAGGAAGGTATTCGATTCCCTTTAACGAGGCCCCTTGACTATATATATGACGTATCAACAGACAACACGAATCAGCACTAATCTTATAACCAGTAGACTAAGGCAGGTTTTCCTGTACGAGAGAGGGCATCTGTCTAGTGAGCTTACATTAGGGTTTCAACAAGAGGAGCGTCGTTAAAGCGATGTAACGGTATTCTATTGAAAGGCACGCAATAAGCGAAGAGGTGTGACGGCAGATAGGCCCCCGGCGACGCTCCGATCACAGACTAGATATACCTACACAGTCTTCTTATTTCTTTAAGCCACATCTCCACAATATTCCTCAAACGATTGGCGCGTCGACAGTCCCAAGATAACTCTATTTATAAAAAAATTGGGACCGTCGTACGAAAAGAGAGCGGGTAGTTTCTCACGTTGAGCGCTCTCGTCGACATTTAACAGAACAAGTATATAAGTATGTAAACACCAGTTAAGCTTATTTATAGAGGGTTAGTAAAGTAAACAAAAAACGGCTTCGGCAAAGCTCCGGCGTCATGCGTTAACGAACGACGCGCGATCGAGAGAAGCCGCGGTCGGCGTGTAAGGTCAGCGGTGCGCGGGGCGGAGCGCGGGCAGCGGCGGCGGTTTGAGCCGCGGCGGGTGTTGCGCGAGCGTGTGCCGGCGCAGGTAGAGCGGCGTCTTGAAGCAGCGGCCGCACTGCGCGCACACCACCGGTTGCGCCTCGTGGATGAGCCGCACGTGCTGGCGCAGGTTCGACGCGTTGGAGTAGCGGCGGCCGCACTGCGCGCACTGCACGCCCGCTCCGCTCGCGCCGCCCGCTGCCAACAACACCACGTTCGCACTGCGCCGTCCGGCCCGCTCGCCTCGCCGCGCCGCCGCACTACTGCACCACGCAACGCGGTGCCTAGACTCGCGAATGCCAGTCTAGGCCCCGCTGCACAGCTACCGAGCCACTAAGCCCTATACGGTTAATACCGGGGGAGTCTTTGAAGAAGGACTAAAATTTTCCATACAATGACTAACCATTTTTTCTGATTGATTCATAATAACAAATCTAAATAGATCGTGCGTTTCGCATTCTAACGATGTTAAAACACTGAGATAAAGGGTTTAAAGTTAAATCTTATCAGCAGTTATTTAGTGGCATTCGGAACCTGTGAGTGATAGTGGCGGGAAGGCGCAGACGCACTTAATAAACTCGACGCAGTATCTCCACTTCGCAACGTTAAGCAAATATAGCGAAATTACTTGGAAAAACCCATTATATTCGAGATACTGCGTGAATTTAGACCGACTTTATAAATCGAACTGAACGTCTACTGGTTGGACACTATTTGCTTAGATAGCCAAGGTTACGTTTACAGGAGGAATTCAGGGAGTTTAAAGAGTTCGATTTATGTAAGGTCTTTGTAATGTGGCGCAGTGGTGGGTTTTGGGCGGGCGAGCGGACGGCGGCCGTCGAGACCCCGACACCCGCGCACCGGCCTACAAAGCTGTTTCCGTCTTAAACAACCTTGTAGGGCTGGGACCTGATCACGAGAGACCGCGCGCTCTTCTACGCCGATTGATATTCGCCGGGGGCGCGGCTGCCGAGGCGACTAGTGCATGTGAAATGGCGTGACAAGTTAACACAGGGCATATTTACCTTCGGCGTTCTCGCTCAGCTCGGCGTTCATTCCCGTCATGAGATCCATACTACCTGCAAACGGGGGCAAGATGTAGTATGATCTGGGTATATGTCTATCTTAAAAGATAGACATATATTGTCGCAGACAATTTTTAGATTATTTAAAGTGGAATCTGTCTTCCATACATATTTTTTGAGTATCTCAAACCGTTTTCGCAGCGTACGGTACGCATCGGAAACCCACAAAAATGAAAGATTCATTCCCCGTTTATTCTACATTTTTCGCTGTTTTTTCTCACTCTTTTTATAGCTTTAGCCTTCCTCGATAAAATAAACTCTAACCAACACAAAACTTTGTCAATTCTCACTAATAGTTCCTGGGATTAGCGCGTTCAAACAAACAAACTTTCCCGTTTTGTATATTAGCATAAATAGATTATGGAAGATAGCGATATGATAGATAGATGAAAATCCGAAGGGTGTCCCGCAACTTACCTTGAAGCGTAGCAAAAGGATTCGCAAGAGTATTATTTTCCGTGTAGTACAGCTGTTGAAAGCCCGAGCGCTCCTCGTCACTGGCTTCCTGTTCCAACACCTCTATCTTGGGCTCCAGCAGATCCGTAGCGCTGAACTCTTGACATTTGCTCTCCCTATCTGCATCACCGGGGTCCATAAGTATATCGTTCTCTTCATTATTCACGTCTGTCACTTCGAGATCAGTTTTCACCCTCAAAGCGGGGTAACAAGTTTGGCTATAGTCATCATTATTAGGCCTCATTTGACTAGAACTTTGAAAGGAAGCATCTTCGCTGAGATTATTTCTGGGCACGTCGGGAGAATTCCTCGCGGAGCGCCGGTTCGCGCCCTTCTCTTGGTCATCGGCGGACGTCGACTCGACATTTTGGCTTGCGACTTTGGGGGAGGAGGTAGAGTGTGAGGGCTTCGCGCTGAGCAGGTTGCGCAATTGCGACGGGGGGAGACTTTCTATTTGTTTTCTGCAAGGGAAAGTAGATTTTAATACGAATTCAAGAAGGCAACCATTCAATTGAGATAACCGTGTGACATACTTTATCGTTGTGCTGTGAGCAGTCAGTGAGGCCGCGGATTTGTAAAGCATCGGCGGTCCTTAGGAAAGCGCTGAGTTGCGCCTGGGCTATGTTCACTTGCCCGACGTACATGAACTGCAGCAGGGCGCGAACGTGGGCCACTTCGCAATCTCGCATAAATATTATCGGATGAGGACATGGATTATTCTGCAATGGAAACATGGTTAGAGTGTTTGTAATGATTGCCACCTGGTACAGACACTTAACATAACTAAAAGGTTACCGACCTGTAATGCCCTCATAAGATTGGCAAAATAGCAATGTTTATTAAGTAACCAAGAAAAAAAACCTATAAGAATGTTTCAAGAGCCCAATTTCAGAATGTGTTTCAGAAACACATTCTGAAATTGCTTTTTTAAAAACTTTCATTTGACAAGAATACAGAATATTAAAATGAGGCAATACACAAAGCTACTTGGCACAAATCGTAAACTGTAACCTACAAGATCTTATCAATTGGGTAACTGCTACATTGGGTACAGGTCATTGACATTATCACAAAAAATATACACAAGGTCAAGTTTTTATAAACAAATTCCACTTCCACATACTATCCCATGTCAAAACAGATTAATATAAAACAACATATTGTTATCATGTGTAAACTTAGGTAATGTTTATTAAAGTTTTTATAGAATTATCTTGGAGGTTTTATCTGAACCACATGCTAACTGAACAAACTTCACTTGACCACAATTTATTGTAGATTATAATCACTGTATAATACAACAATTGTAAGTAATACTTTGGTTTTGTAATACACTATAGATCAAGATGTGTGTTCATTAACTTCTCCGTAGGAAACCATATGTTTTCATCATATCGAAATGCAAGGCAAATTGGCCTTCAGCTGCAGCTACAGAAGCTGTTTTTTTTTTAATTTTTCTAGTTTTAGTGTTTTTATATGATAAATAATAAGTGTTTGTTGATGTTTAGGTATTACTTGATGTTACCGTTTTTTTCATTGGTACTGCTACATAGTGACACCACTATTACATTAAACTGATTGGTGTTAACTTAAAATTATATTAGGAGTTTAGGTTTGACTCATAAAACCTATTAGAAATAAAGATAGTCTTATCATATCAATGGGACTTATATAAGAATTGATATAGACTGTTTACATGTTTGAAAAATGTTGAAAGTCATCATTGCATAGTTAATAAAAGGTGAAATTCTTATTAACTTTATTATTATGTACCATCTTTTGGACTATAATAATGTATTGGTTAACATAAGATTAAATAAACTATTGCTTAATCGACTTACTTGATAAGACAGATATGTCATAATGTCTAAAAACCTATTAAGTTGATGTATTGACCTAAAATATTAGTGTTTAATAGCATCAAAAAGAGACCATGTGTGAATATTTAACTATCAGAAATAATATGTATGTATATTAAAAGTTAAATCACATACAGATAATAAATTACATGTAGTCACACAAAGACCAAAAGTGAATGTAAATGATGTTTCACATTGGACTTTAATTACTACTGTGATGGTGTTAAACTGTCTCATTTTACATGAAACACTGAAACATATGATTTCTCTTGCTTTCCAGTCATACATGCATAAAAATAGTTTACAAGATCATTATTGGATTGGTATGTGTGAGAAATGCATATGTCTTAAGTATACACTTGTATGTTATATATAACATATTGCACAGTATTCACTTAATTAAAAGATTTAATTGAATTATAATTGAATAATATTTAAAAAATAATGTCAGCATTATTGATAGAAAAAGACAGCCAACACATTATAATTAAATAGCTATTCATCTCAAATTGTATACTAATTTGAGATTTGAAAAAAAAATCCAAGTCAATAAACTGATTTGATAAGTCCGATGGTAATGAATTAATTAGAAATTGTGAAACAGAATTCTAAAGTAGCTACAAATAAATGAAATCGCGAATACTTAACCGGAACGCGAGACATGGCATTTGTAAGTAGATCAAGTGTTTTATACATAACAACTTTCACTAGAGTCATTGTAATGGTGACACATCAAAGTGTGGGGAGAGAAAGATAGACTTACTTTAAATAATTCCTTGAAATAGGGACTACACGCCGATAAAACCACTTTATGCGCTTCCAGCCTGTGTCCCTCGCATGCCAGGGTGACATCCACGAAATCCTCATCGTCGCGCAGCGCCTCGAATTGAGATGTTATATTCGCTTGAAAATTGTTCCATCTCAAACAGAATTGCTGGTCGCCACCCAGTTCTGTACCTTCCATTACTTATAGACATAACTCGATAGCCCTGATCATTTAATTGCTTGATAAGAAAAGTTAATTATTGAAAATAAATATATCACAGTAACTTGCAATTTCAGTCGCCGTCTGGCCGAAAATCTTGAAAGAAAACAATCAATAAAATCTCGTACCAATATAAGAAAAATAAAACTTTTTTAATTTGTCATTCATTGCTGATGGGTACATTCACTTTGACGTTCCAAACCACGTAAGGAATAATGACAACTAACACTGATGTAGTCTTTGTATAGTCTGTGACTTTGTTAGTCAGCCATTTATTTATTTTTAGATAGTGCAGCCAATGTAATTATTGTACTCAGAGGAATCTATAAAAAAAAATCAACTTTGTGTTTATTGACCTCACAATTCATTTAATAAAAAAACTTCTGATAACTGTTGTCTATTGTAGATCGTGGCTACCTATCTAATATATTCTTTTGCAAAATGAAATTAAATACTCTAAATATTATCATGAAAATGTTTATTAACTCTTCTTAGTTATTAGTTAAAAACAAAAATCTTACTTTTAATAACAATCTTACATAATTAAACTTAAGAAACGATTTAAATCTCAAGCTCAGCTGAAATTCTTTATAAAAAATTATTTAGAGAGCTTGTTCACCTTCAACTGTTTCTTTTAAGTTTAATAACTCAAACTGACCACTGCCCTTTGTGTCGGTTCTTATAATTTCATCTAGAGTCCTGAAGCTTCCTGGGTCTATTAAACATATGATGTTCGCTGTACCGGCTTCCCAGTTTTCTTCTTCAACTTTTGCTGTTAGTTTTACTGCTTTGTCTCTTATTTTACGGGCTTCTTTGCCACTTAAAAGGATCCTCACTCGCATCTGTGCTCTTTCTAGGGGAATTTCCTTCTTTATCATTTGTATAACATCAAGCGCTTGTTGTTTTGCACTTTTGTTAACATTTACTGAAAAGTGAGAATCTTTCATAGCCTTCTCTATAATAGAAACAGGATATGGCCTTTTTGTTTCTGGATTCACACATTTGTCAGCCACTGTAGTAGCAATATCTTTAAAAAGAGCATCAATTTGAGAATGTCGCTCTTTATCGGATACCTGTAACTCTCCCTTTTCCAATATTTCCTTGCATATTTCTGTCTGATCATCTTTTCCAAATATTTTAACTAGATCCTCTTTTTTGGCAACTTGACCTTTTGATACATTTGTGAAAACTGTGTGAGTTTGTAGAACTTCATCGATGTCTTTTTCCCTAAAATGAAAAAGGTCATAATCATCGAAATTAAAATAGTTATTTTTATTCTTCTTGTACTTACACCTTATTTCGCCATGATATTACTTTGTTCCTATAGCAAGCTATTTCAAATCTTTTTCCACCCTTTTTTAATCTAACAATAGCGACATTTGTTAAACGAATCTGATTCGTTGGAGTAAATATTTTGGACATATTTGTAATTAATAAAACTGCTAGGTTATTCTTTGTTTATTATTTTGAGATTTCGTTTAATAAGATAAGGGACACAGATACAGAATATTATTTATAGAAGATCCAAAAAAAAAAAGAATTACATTTATACAAGATTTTGATTTGATAAAAGATTAAATTATGATTATTTTATTGAATCAATAAATATTAAAGTTTACTTATTTTTTCCAAACAATGAAATAATAATAAATGCGTGTAATGAAATGTAAAATTTTATCTGTATTCATTATTTCTGATTGTTCTTTGAATGTGGGCTGTGGTGTTAATTATCTATGCTGCTCACGACGTGTATTTCTTAAAAGTTGGCCGTCATCAGCCGTCATTTTGTGATATTTGTATATTTTGTCGGTGATTTTATGTGATTATTCGAAAAAATGGCGAAATTAGTTGATATTTACAACAGCGATAAAGAACATGTTATCAAACGGCGACAGTTACCCCTAACAATCTACGATAATCTTACTGTAAGTATCCTAGTTGCGGGTGACACAAAATTTAGCGAAGATTATTAATATCGAATTGATTAAACGGCTTGAGTCTTTCTAATTAACTTTGTTCTTTTTGATGTCGCTTTGAGAATGTAGGATTCTTATATAAACTACAGTTACTTCTGTCTCCTATGATTCTCCGTGATGTCTACTTGTTTAGCTGATCAATTGCGTCTTGAAGTTGACCTTATTTTTGTGCTTACTCTTTGTTAAATGTTTCCTATTTGTATAATTACAGATGGTTATGGATTTAAATAGTATGGGTTTGATATGTGACAACCCACAAGTTAAGGGTCGTGAATACGAAGAATTTATGCGTAAATATAGAATTCTTACCACTGACGAGCTTAAATCAGCGCTAAGAGTCGACGCTACAGATATTTTCAACGTTTTAAATCAAAGCATTCCTTGTGTTGGCTGTAGAAGAAGGTAGTGTTTTAGAAAAAAACTGTTCTTATTGGCTTAAACTCATCATACATTTACCCACAACACAATAAGATAAGATTCAAAGTCTAATGACAAATGAGGAATAAGTAATAATTAAATCAAATAAATTAAATGTAATTGTTTTATGCCTGACTGATGCCTGATAGATCTTTTCAATATTTAATTACAAAATATCTATTAAAAATTCTGGTGTTAAACCACAAAACATCTTTTAGCACATATTATTTGTATAATAATTATTTTTTTAAACTTTTAACTTAGTCTTTCTATGAAGTACATCAGTAATCTAATTAATGGTCTATTAGTTATTATCTATAAGCATATTAACACATGAAATTACATAATTAGTCTTGGCTTAAGCTTAGGGTTAAGAAATACTAAGAATGTTTTGTTTGATGTAATTGTATGATACCTTTTTTATTATACATCCTTACTAATATTATAAATGCGAAAGTAACTCTGTCTGTCTGTTACTCTTTCACACCAAAACTACCGAACAGATTTGAATGAAATGTGGTACACAGATGGTTTAGACCCTGAGAATGAGGCTTTTTATTGCGAAAAGGGGGTTAAAAGGGGGGGATGAAAGTTTGTTTGGAAATTTGTGGTTTTTGAAGCTAGAATAATGATACTTTCTTCTTTGGCTTTTTGGGAATAGGAGTGGGGGTGGGGGTGGGAAGGAGATTGGGAGTTAGAGTAGGAGTGATGTGAGGTGAGAGTGTTGCAGCAAAGTAGCACTTACAACATAGATTGGCTGCAATAAATGTGCAATTACATAAATGAATAAACAGCCTAAATAAATAAAAACTCTCGCTCCTACTCATTATTCCACGTGAACAAAGTCGTGGGCACAGCTAGTAAATAATAAAAAAGGGTTTTAGATTCCTTATTGAGATTTTGGGGAATTTTAAGACTCATCAATTTATATTACCTTTTGCAGCGTGGAAAGGCTGTTTTACCAGTTATGTAAGTCAGGACACCCAACCTTAGATCCAATTATCCTAACACCAGATGAGATAATGACAATAAAAGAAGATAAAATCACACACCCACAGTCATTAGCCACCTTACTCAACGGACATAGGTTTGTATACGATAATTACATAAGATTAGCATTATAATTTGAAAAACTTTTACTTATATCACGATTGCTCGCTTTCTATAGTCTATTCATTGAAGTGAAATAGTAAAAGGCAAAAATTATTTTTCTTAAGTACTGTCTGTAGATAATGTAAACAATTAAAATAAAACATTTGTAACCGTTTAAAACTGCGAAATGCATTAGTTAAACTGATTCACAAATTATTTTAAATTATATTAATATCAATATATCAATAATATTGAAGCGTGTCACTAATATCAAAATTAGTTTTGCTTACTATTAGTATTATTTATTATTATTTTCTCTCGGGGACAACTATAGAAGGTCGGGTGATCAGTCCACATCATCAGCTGACCATTTCATCATTTCCTCCTTGCAGAGGTTTAAACTATTTTTAGTAGCAAAACATATTGACTGTTCTGTGTTTTTTTCAGCACGGGAATAGATTGCCTCATCCTAAGTCAGCCAAGGTGGAAAAAATCACAGAGGTGTACACTGCATTCGCTAGAAGCAGGCAGTGCTAGAGGCTGGGGGGCGACATCGACAACGTGCGGTTGGGGTTGGGCAGCATGGAGCTGGGGGGGACGAGCTGCGTGGCGCTCAGCTTGGGACGCTATGAGAACCTCTGCCAGGGAACACGTCACTCTTGTCCATTTCAATACTCTCCACGATACTCTTCATAATTATCTGAGAAAACACCGGTTTTGTGCTGACTGCAAGACTAAGGTAGGATTAAGATCTACTACACATATACTGTATTACACAATTTTTTAAGCACTACTCTGTTACATATGGGTATTAAAGTTCTAACAGAAATTAAGATAAAATAGTTAAACAATCGCACAGTCTCAGGGTACACAAAAATTTTCCTCTATTATAACTTTATTTTTAATTTAAATAATACCATCATGTGAAAAATAAGTTTTTTAATGTATTGTTAAGAGTGTAAAAACATAAATATCCTGATTTCATAAATATTTCCATTTTATTCATATGTGCTTGGTCGTCAAAAAAGATTTATCACTGATAAAGTGAGTGATAAGCTAAAGTAAAGGTTGACACTAAATAAGTAGAAATTTCAAGGTCATGACAGTTTAAATGAGACGTAACAATACTCTTAATAGAGCTAAAGTATGTGGTAATTGAGCTTAGATAACTTTGCATTAGAAAACACAAGTAGTAGTCTTGTTATCCCTATGTAGGCGCATGGAGTAAATGATATTTTGTGTTTCACCGATATATTTTATTTTCAGGCAAGTTGATCAAAAGTCTGGGCTTGCCTGAAAACTGTGTCTAACAGAAACTATTATTTGAAAAATAATTGTTTTCAAATTTCACAATGTCATTTCATTTTCAATGATTTTTAAGTTGCCAAGCAGAGAAAATTGATACGAAGGTATCACTGGGTACAGTAGCTCAATTGCTTAAAGCTACTGTCTATAGTTTACGCGAGTAGTACACATTTAAATAAAACACTTTAACGACTAAAACGGCCGCTGTAAAGCATCCGAAACGTCGGGCCGAAGTTAACAATCATTTTCAAATAAGTTTAACTAATATATCGCGATTTAAACCGTTAGAGTGTTTTATTTAAAGCTACTGCTTTAATATATAACGCTGAGGGTGGTTCAAATCTCTCTCTGAACCCAGGACCTCTCGTCATTTAACTATTGAGATATGGAGGTAATCAGACGGATTATAAGTCGAGTTTTCTTTTAAAAGCATAGTAGTGAAATCCCGTGACTCCTCGTGAGGACTTCACGTGAACATAATTCTGTGTTCGTTTCACTGATTGGTTTTATTTACAAGCAAGTAGTTTGTTTTGACTTCTGTGCCCTGCCCGGCCGAAATAACTCCTCTCGCGGTTAACGCAATGCTACCCAACACGTTATAAGCATAGCACACTTTGTATATGAAAAATATTATTTATTGTATATTTACATCTTCACAAATTCTTATATTAATAGTATTAGTAGTAGCGTCTAATATTCACATAAAATACTCATTAAATATACAGGTCCTACGAGCGTACCAGCTGTTAGTTGAAGAAAAGGAACCACACAAAGAGAAGGGTTATGTTGGAGCTCTCTACGGAGGTATCAAGAGGTGTTTGTTAGACAAGCACTTACACCTACAGGCTAAGACCGATTACATTGCACATCTGATAGCGAGAGCGGAACCGGAACTGCTTGGAAATCATCGGGAGAGGCACGCCAAGACCTTGGAAATTGCACAGGAAGAGGTAAGTTGATAACTGAACTCGAAGATATAGTTAAAACCAAACCTTTTTAACGGTTTTGACGGGCTCCTTGGTGTAAAGGTATCAACGGGCAGTGGATTCGATTCCCACGGGGTCCAAATGTTTTCAATTTGATAATTTTTGGAAATCTTTATATTAAATCGGTAGGTATATCGGAATTTCGTCCGGGTCACGAACCGCCATCCTAGGATCAAAAAGCCGTAGTTTTTAATCGCGTTTCGGTTCAGATTTTCGAATATCCAAAGTCAAAATAGATCGACAGCGTGCCATGCCTCTGTCCATGTCTGTCCTCGTTTATCATTAAAAGGCAACGTGATATATCAACCAATTCAATCAGAGGCAATATCTATAAGCTCGTCGGGCTGATGATAGCAATGTATGTCTTAGATCTTCGTGCCTGGAAAATCTTGATATTAATGAGCGGTGGGAATATTAAATAATTCCATCCGCCATACGAACCATACACAATGAAAAAGCCAAGAAGTTTTATCAAGTTTCCATTTCAAGATCGAAAGCGGTCCACCTATTTTAGCCACATAGCGCAAGAGTTCCATGATCTTCCATGTTGTCCGTTCTGTCATAAAAGAAATCAAGTTCTAAAGACGCGATTGTCTTTAATTTCCAGGTGCTAATATGTCTCGGCATTTGCGTTTACGAAAGGCTGCAGCGTATATCCCTTAGGCTTCGCGAAGAAGAAGGTACCTGCCAGACGTTAGCCGCCGTGGGAATAGAGGCGCTGTACCGTAAATTCGAGACCGCTGTAGAAATGAAGAGCGGGGTCTCCAAACTACAGCTATTGTATGATGAAATCACTCAAGAGGAACTCACGAGGCAGCAGAGGAAAGAACAGAAGAAACTCAAACGGCGCAAGAAGAAGGAGAGGCAGGCCGTCGAAAATAAATGCAAGGTAACAAACAAGTATTGTATGTGCATTATCATTTATATAAAACACTAAATCGCGCTATACAACAAGTTACAACTTATTTGAAAAATATTTTTAACTACGGCCCGTTTGGGATGCTTTGGTCACGGGGAGACTAAAGGTGAAGGGTGTCTGTGACTTCAAAGTAAAAACGGCTACGTTACTACTGCCTTAAATGAGTTTCGCGTTTTAAACAGTTAAAGTGTTTTATGGAAATGTGTACCACTCGCGTAAACTAGAGATAGTATTCACTACACCCATTTCCCCATTCAGGTCATTTGGGATATTCGACTTTATGTCAAGATTGTGTTCACACTTTCCGGTTTCTTTGTAGAACGTTAACAATTGTACCAGCGGTAATTCTTTGATGTTTAATTTATCGTTTTAGGATTGTTTAAAATGATTAAAAGAAATACTGTTATTCAAATAGAAGGATATACACAAAATTAAAACGTAAAAAAAAATATCTTGTATCCTACCTAACCTACTTATTGGCGCACACTCATCTTTGTCATATCTAGAGCATAAACAATTATTTACTTTATTATGATAGATAAAAAATGTAATTTAATTTCAAAATTTCACGTAATTGTATTTTTACTCAAACAGGAAGTGGATTCAGAAGAACCCGAGGAAAAATGTGAATGCGATGAATGTCTACAAGAAGCAAGGGATTTACCAACAGATTTGATAACAACAGAGAATTACGAACAGTGTTTTGAAGCAATGCAAACAAATGACGGCTGCCATTCTTGTCAAGAAGACTACACAGAGCTCAGTTCTCCAAAGAAACCAAACAAAAGAACTAAAAAGGGAAATCTATCACCGACCTATCATTCTCATGATTGTGGTTACTCATCTGGAAACAATGGCGGATGCTGTGAGACAATGTCTGGGTCGTCATCGTTAGTGAGCTCCCCTGAAGGCTCTGAGGTGGCCTGCTCTGAAGGGTTTTGCAACCACGAGCGAGGGGATTGTCTGGATTTGCCCAAGAGTGATAAGTTTTCATGCACCGGATTCACACTATCCTTACAAGAAATGCTGGTATGATATAATTATTTCTTATACTAATAGTGTATTACAAACTACTACTATAGTAGATAAAAATTATAGGTCCGTTGGTTTTGATAGATTTTAACTTTAAAATAAGATTATAATACTTTGATGAGTACTTTTGATCTAGAATAGCTTGCAAAATACATAGTACTAATTTTAATACGATTTCTAGGATACATGTTCATCTGATGAAGAACAGGATACCAGCTATATTCCCATAGAGGAAGTGATGGAGTTCAAGTCCCGTAGAAACATAACAGAGAAACGGCAAGAGTTAAGGCAAAATCTACGTCAAAAATTTGCTCAGTTATGTGTGAATCCGCAAACACCAACTCTACAGAAGCAAGGAAAGCATGCCAATTAACCCGCATAATAGAGACATTCAAACTGCACTTTATATTTCATACCCAGGTTCCCGCGCATTGTTCGATTATTTTGTCACTATGTAACAAGTGACATTCAAAACTGTTAGCTGCAATACACCGCTTGGAATAGGTCCCCCACATATTGTCATTTTATTCCCTTTGCGTAATAGACGAACAGACTAGACTTATGCATGTTCCTTACATGGGAATCAAAATTCAATGGAAATTGTAGATTAATGTAGAGAAATGTCCATATTATAAGTCAAAGGTGCTTGTAAAATGACTAAATCAAAGTCTACTATACATTGTATTGTAACAGCTAGTATATAGATGTAACACTAGTGCATGTTTGAATGAATCCAGCTGTTAATATAATATTATTAATGATTCGACTGGATACACCCTGGCATTTATCAAATATTTACTATATAAAATATTAGAGCTTTGTAATGAAAATATATAGAAGCCTTTTTTGATCAAATTATTTTAATTTCATTGTTTACTGGACATGGTAAACAATGTTTTAATTTCAGGTATTTAAGAGAAGCTTGTATAACTGATGTTGAGTCATTGGCTGTTTTGCCTTTGTTATGAAATCAGAATAAACATTTGTAACTCAGTTTTAATTATATTATAATTCAATAAAAATTGTTTTTTTTAGCTTATGTTAGATATACACAGTGACGCATTGGTTCCTCCGAAGCCAAATGAATTTTTTAAAGCCACCTTCTTGTCACTATGCCATGGCACAGGTGTATTGGCGACATAGTTTAAGTCATCTATAGGGTTTTCTAAGTTGATTGTAGGGGGTAAAACCCCATGATAGCATGCTAATATGGTAAATATTGCCTCTAAATTTCCAGCGGCTCCTAATAAGTGGCCATGTGCTCCCTTTGTGGAAGAAACATGCACATTCGAAACATTTTCCTTAAACAATGACTTTATAGCTGTTGATTCAATATTATCACCAACAGGAGTAGATGTAGCATGAGCATTGATAAATGAAACTTGGTTCTTATCAATATTTGCATCTTTTAATGCTCTACTCATTGAGAGAATTGCTCCACTGCCATCTTCTCGTGGAGTGGTTATATGAGAAGCATCACCAGAGAGACCATACCCCAGTATTTCGGCATACATCTTAGCATTTCTTTTGAGGGCATGCTCATATTCTTCTAATATAAGAACAGCTGCGCCTTCACCCATGACAAAGCCCTCTCTTTTCTTGTCAAAGGGCCTAGAAGCTTTACTGGGTGAATCGTTAAAAGATGTGCTTAAGGCTCTAAGCCGACAGAATCCTGCAATAGCAAGAGGGCTTATACATGCTTCTGCTCCACCACACACCATCACATCGACATCACCATTCCTTATAAACCTAAATGCATCGCCAATAGAATGAGCTCCTGTTGCACAAGCTGTAGAAACAGAATGATTGGGGCCTCTCAACCCATACTTGATGCTTACATGACCAGCAGCCATATTAGGCAATATTCGTGGAACAAAAAATGGGCTAACTTTATTATAACCTAATTGTAAGGCCGAGTTAGTGTCGCAGACATCTTTTAAATCAATCATACCCATTCCTAAAGCGACTCCCGTATTTTCTCTGTCTCTATCTGATTGTGGTGACCAAGATGCATCAACTAATGCTTCAGCAGTAGCTACCAAAGCTAAGCATGTAGCCGGTGCCATGGATTTTAAATTCGACTTTGATAAAGCCCTCTCTATTTTATCATCCCTGTCCTTAGGGATTAACCCAGCTATTCTGCAAGGTAATTGAAGATATTCTTCGCCTAAAGAAACAATACCACTGCAACCTTTTAAGAGGTTTTGCCAGGTTACTTCCGTACATGCTCCTAAAGGGGAAACAGCACCCAAACCTGTGACTACAACTCTTCTCCTAGAAGTAAAGGATGAATAACACCTCAGAGCACGGTGGAGTCTAATATTCTGATGTTTTAAACACATAATTTATGAACAGATATTTTAGAAATATTTAATCAAGATAAAAATATAGGTGTGTTCTAAGGCGATATTATTAGTCATGCATAGTAAATTATAGTGTTTGTTTTTAAATTTATAACGAATAGCAACAAAATTTATTGTTTTTGTAATCTTGTGTTTGACATTGAGTATTGCCTAATAAATCGATCGGTTTTAAGTTTTAACCGTCAACATTAATATACTCTCTGCTCATGCCATATTTACAATTCTGACAGCTGACAGTGTCACTGTCATACCGATCCTAATCAGCTGGTTTGGAATTTGGTTATCAGATTAATAAAACTTTGATTAGTATCAAATTAGTAAATAGCTGATTGTTGTATATTTAATTTTTATTTGCAAATGAAGTGTATTTAATTGTAAAGATAAAGTTACATAATTAAATATTTTTATCGTTTCATTATTGTTTTTTACACAAACATGTATTCCAAGTTCCTTAATTTTAGAAAGTTAATCCTTTCCGCTTTATTAATTGTGCTCGTGTCCGTTTTACTACAGAGGGTATACCTTAAAAGCAGTAGTAACATTCCTGAAGTAAATGAAACCACAAAAAAACTTATTTACAATAAAGAAGAGTTATCTAAATATGACGGTGTTCAAAGTGAAAGATTGTTTTTGGCGGTGATCGGATCAATTTTTGACGTAACGAGTGGAAGTAAACATTACGGAAAAAGCAGTTCATATCATTACTTTATAGGTAATGATTGCCATTATAGTATTGACAACAAGAAGGACAAATATATTTTGAATGTATTATGCACAGCTGCTACAGCATATTATTTTACGGATTTCAGGAAAGGATGGAACAAGGGCATTAGTGACAGGAAATTTTAAAGATGAAAGTGAAGATAAGGACCATATTTTGGATTTAAAGTGTGATAACATTTTTTCTATTATGCATTGGAGAAAAACATTTCGGGAAAAGTATAGCTATGTAGGTTAGTATTCTTAACATTTTATAAATAGACTTTTTTATTTTATAACACTCATAATAGACTGCTTATTTTAGGAAAATTAGAAGGAAGGTATTATAATTCAGATGGAACAGAAACAAATTATATGAGGGAACTTAAAGCTAAATTAAAACTGTGTAAAGAAGAAAAAGAAAAAGTCGAACAAGAGAACACAGAATTCCCCCCTTGCAATGTTTCTTGGAGTGAAGAAGAGGGGACAAGGGTGTGGTGTTCAAAATCTAGGTAAAATTATGTTTGCCTGCTCGGTTATACAACAAAAATGCAAAACGAAAAATAAACTTATCATATTTTTTGTAGATAAAATAAACTACTTTGTATTTTATCTACAGAAAAATATATGAGTTTGATCAGTGCCATGCCTTAGTTATGTTAATATATATACATATTTTTTAATATCTTAGATTTAAAGAATAAATAATATACATAGACAAACATATCAGCATAAAGAATTAAAACTAGAAAACCCTATTTATTGTTTAGCAGCAGTATAATTTTGAGTATTATTTGTTAACATTTTGATTTGTTGCAGTGGAGGAATAGTACGCAATTGGGTTGGTGTACCACGGCAGATGTTTACGCCTGGAAAAGATAAACCAAAATGTGTGTGTGCCCAACAAGAGACCAATATGCTCAAACCATATACTGGATGTTTAAGTACTTCGGCAGAATGCTTTGTTAAGGTTGAGCACTAATATTAAGTTGCAACTATTTTGAAAAACTATATAAAGTTACCAAATTCTACAGACAAATTAGTACAAATGTATACCTCATTTGTGTAGATTTTTTCAAGAATAAGAAAATATTAGTTAAGATTATTCCAAAACGAACATTCCATGATAAGATTTATATCTTACGTTAATGGATATTGATTATGATGTTAATTTTTTACAAGTAAATCACAGTGTTTATAATAAAACATAGTTTCGAAATCGTCTTTTATTTTCAGTCTTATATACATGTTGTAAATGAATCACAGCATTGATATTACAACAATTGTAATACTTTGCATTGATGAACAGTCTTCATTTTTAATCTAATTGTAGATGGATTGTGGTTTTGATTCTTTCAAAATGCCTTTTAATAAGTTGTGGTAATATTTGATAGTTTTAAAACAGATGGTACAAGAATCCAAACTAGAAGAGAATAATACATAGGAAATGGAATCAAGGTTTATACATACACCTCTCTTATATCATTTTATTAATAATTGGCAGTGTTGTTTGATTATGGTTAACAGTTCTTAGGTAACAAATGACTTGAAAATTTATTTTCCAAAAAGCAATTCAGTTAAACTTAATACTTTGTATACAAAACTGTGTGTACATTAAAATTACTATTTTTGTGTTATCAGTTTTCAAATAACAAACATATTACATACAAAAGGTGTCCATCAAACAAAACTTATCAGATCAAAAATACAGACTTTAAAACTGTTAAAACACTGTTTGGCACTACTATTGTACTGTAATAGTTTCATGACTCTCCAGATGTGAAACATCGTTCAAACCAGATTCTTCTATAGTTTTCAAAAACACATTCATTGGAATCTTTTTCCGGTTCAGAAATGACTTATTACCTAACAACCTCTTAATTTTCTCCCTACGTCTCTTTATTTTGTCTTTAGTGTAATGACTGCCTATTTGAAATGTTAACAGTCTCTTAATTTTTCTGCCACCAATCAAACCATTTGGCTCAGAATTATTTGGTTTTGGCTCCTCATAAATGGTTTCTAGAGTTTGTGACATGGTTTTCTTAAATTTTTTATTAAGGTATAATGCTTCTATTTGTTTGGAGTTAGCGCTTTCTGTTACAAAATTATTTTTACGAGGTTTCATACTGACCCTACGATTGGTGGATATTTTAATATCTGGTGATTTACGTTTTCTTAAAATTCTGGGACTGATAGGCGGTTCCTTTGATGCTGACGATTGTTCCAGGTCCACAATGTCTAAATCAGCTAACTTTTCATGCAAGTCACCGTCTAACCTGCAAGAGTCTTCGTGTTATATCTGAGGGACATCGTACTTTATTCATAGAAAATAGTTGATATACACTTACTTCGATGGCTCCATAACGATTCCTTTTCTAGCATAGATCTCTAACGTTTTTGTCGTCAATAATGGTATCTTATGCTCGTTTCTGAGACTATAAATATGAACAGTACGGAACACTTTTCATTTACAAAATGTACATTTAGGCATATATTTTGTAATAAACGGCAGGGAACACCCCAAGTCGTGAAATAAAAGTTCACGTTCACTTTCTTGAATTAAAATGTTTGTACTGACAGATGACAGTCTGTTTCCACAGATTGCATTTTGGAAAAAATAGTCCGTTTTACATTTTTTCCTAAATATTTTGTCCATAATACGAAATCATCAAAATTTATTTCTTAAATTATTAATTAAGACAATTATTGTAGGCTTTCCGCATTAGTTATGAGCATTTTAGTTTGCAATAAAATACGGGTAATTTTATAACGATTTATTGTACAAAACAATAATACATTAAAATGTACAGGTATGTTTAAATTCATGGACACAGTTCGGTCCCAAACTGGATAATTATTATGTTTACCCTTCACTTAGAGACACCGTATTGCTCGAAGTGGTGTCGGCACTAATTGAAATAAAGATAAAGGCTCTAGATAAGCAAACTAGACAAAGAGAATAAAAATATAACAATAAATTAATAGCATGCTTGTCAACTTAAGTACACATAGTCTATCGCACTGCTGTCGACGGGCACCATGACGTAGTCTTTAATAATAATTATAACGTAATTAAACAAATTGATTAAATCTCCTAAGCATATATTATTGTATATACACATTATGAACATGCCTCTCTGTTGAGCTAGCGTAGGTGGGTGGTGGCGCTGGCTTCGTCGCCGGTCGTGGTCTCGCTCGGAGCGGTCGCCTTCGGAGCCCTACTCGACGCCTATTGGTATTGGCTGATGGTCGGCGATTCGTTAATACATCTATGAGTGAAATTAACACCGAGACGATAGCGGTAGAGTAGCAGAGAGAAGCGGGTGAGGAACTATGATTCGGTGGCGTTTACCACTTGTCAACGACCACCTCGTTCACTGCAAAACAATGATAGCGTTAGTGGTGCCTCCGAGCGCGTGCCGCCATCCGAACTTACTAGGTCTTTGTGCAGAGATCACAACCGTATCGTAGTTACTAAATGTGTAGTTTCACTGCGGGATCACAACAAACAATGAGTGTTCATGGAATAGTGCGTGCAGAAGTGCTGCGGCCGGCTCCCGGCGCTTACACCTTCCACGTCGTGGCTGGGGGCAGACAACACTAGTTAGTGCATGCGGGGTCTCGCTGCGCGCAGTTTCACACTGCTACGCAGCGATCGGTCGGAAAGTTTTGCAACACAGTACATATTAACAATGAACGCATCGTCGCACCAATTTGTGGTCCAGACGATGCGTTAAAGACGTGATCTACGATTTAGTTAATATATACTGTGGCGAGAGCGGCATTTTAAAATCCGGCGTCTCGTGAAATTTTAAATTTGAATTTAGAAATAGAACGTTGCAAGTATAGTCGCCAATAGCAATTTTGTATTTTAAGCTTGCAAAACTTTTTGTTAGCGGGTAACATACAACACTGAACACGGAGTTAGTGGCTTGGCGTAGCCTGGGATAGTGTGCGTGGAGATCGAAGTGTGCAGAGGGTAGGTCGAGAGAAATAAAAGAACGTCCTTATTATGTCTGTTTAAGGGAACACTTCTTACCTTTAATAAATACAATTAGTATAACATTATCGTATGAAGTTATTTAAAATTTATGTAAGGTATTTCAGAGTAGGATATTAGATTCGAAACATACTCAGTAAAACATGCTATTGTTTGTGCTGTGTAGTGTACATAGTTCGTAAGTGGCTGACTTATTATATTACCTGTCATTAAAAATAAAAATATAAGATTCCTAAAATTTCACTATTGTTTTTATAATTAGTATTGTAGCATAAGGCAAAATCACAACTAACCATACTCTCAAAAAGAAATCATGCAATGCACTCATGCAAAAGTTTTTCTATTGTAAATCACTTAAGTCTAGAATTTTCTTTTAAAAAATTGATTTATAAACGGACAAATTTTGACACATCCATGTTAAACTCTTTAATTGTTACAGTCATTTTTTTAATCATTACATTTCTGTAAACTTATGTATTAAAGTAACAACCAAACCTGTTACAGATGAAAATTAAATTAATGTTTACAGTGACAATAAAAATTCTAGACACTGGACAATTTAAGAAAATTTGTGGGACAAGATATAGGGTTTACTGTTATTTGGTACAAGACATTTTTGTTAGTCAATCAGCACTCAACAAATGCGTTATTATTGTACATACACTGCAAATGTCTGTATGCCTCTGGATTTTGTTATAAATCTAATTTATACTCGGAGAATAAGTAAAATAGTCCTCTTCCTCTATATAATTACAATGAACAATGTTAGGCAAAATACCTTATATATAACTTTTGTGGAAAAGAATGTTTATTGTCGTATCCAGAGCACAAACAGACAGATGCTACAAAGGTCGGTTGTTAGCAAGCGAGAGGTGATAGGGCTCAGTTCGTCCATACATCGATGTAAATCCAGTTACAACGAGAGCCTAACTTACAATAAATTATCCTAGACTAACAATGCACTTACTAACAGTAGATAGTGTCTGCCGTCCAAGAGGACTTATGAGCGTGCGAGAGAACGGAGTAAATACACTATAAAATTACAAATTCATGTAAAAAAAAAATGCCGAATCTGATCTTCACAGCTCCGTGGTTATTGTCTCGCACATGAGAAACGGAACACGAATCGAAACCTACTGTTAAGGAAAACACTAGGAGAGAGAATTCCGTAGCACCGCAGTCTAATGAACATATCAGTTGGTCGGACGCACTTTGTTCACAGTTCACACGTGCACAGGGGTCACTTCACACCTCGTGGATTAGCATTCCAAACGGTTAATGTACTGTGGTGAGCGAGAGCTCATTGTCCATCGGTTTCCACAGTGGAATTCGTTGCGCCAGCCACGGTACAGTGACCCGCGGGTGGTGTTGGCACCGAGAGAGCGTGGGTGGCGCAGAATTCGGCGGGAGGGTATTAGCACAGTGCATAACACGAACAGTCACTCGATCCGACTCGGAGTAGCGCGTATATTGAGCCCTTTATATACTAGTAATCTATATCACGTATCTATTGCTAAAATGTATCAAAACCCACTAAGTATAAATTTCCCATTCCGATAAAGCAAAGGGCGCAACGTGCGCGGGCGCAGCGTCGGGTTGAGACACTGCTGTGTGCACTGTGGTTAGGTAAATCAAACGGGGTATCGGCGCATCTTATAGCGGTCCGTAGAGGATGAGGCCAAAAAAGACGGCCCACATTAGCACAATCCACTGCATGCCGTCGAGCCAGTGCGCCAGGGAGCGCTTCTCACCGTCGGAGATCTTGCGCGCGACGAACTTGAGCACCTCGTCGAGCAGCACCACGGGGATGGAGAACTTCATCACGGTGACCCACTCGTCCATCGACAGCGGCGTCACTTGGAAAACGGCCTGCGGAGTGCGTGGTGTAAGGGCTTAGAGGTGTTCAATTACATATGCAAATAAAGCGACAAAGTGACACTTTTGCTCAAGTGAACTTGCTTGTCTATCCCTATTTTGTTAACATACACTCTAAGTTACTCCTAAGACTTTTACCAATATCTTAGGTGAGGTGCTGAATAATTATTCTGTTTTGTAAAAAAACATTGTTAAATATGGGGTAAGCTTTTTTATTTTTTTAGAAGAAAAAGTATCAGTAGAAGTATACAATTGAAGGAATTGTATAAGAGAGGAGTTATTTATTGCAATTAAGGTATTATACAGCGATACGGTCCACTCGTCGTAATGTTTATTTCGAATGTTTTGTTTTAAAAAGTTCTTATTTTATTAGATGAGGTATATAAACATATCGAATCTTGTAATTATATCGCCTCTATAAACAAATGGTTAAATGCATTGAGTTAGGCGCGAGAGATCCTGGGTCCGGATCGCGCTTATTCGATCAGGAACAGAAGTCTGACCAAGCACTTGCATGTAAAAGAACAAACAGCGGAACGGATACAGAAATGTGTTCGCACCATGCTCCACGGGGAAAATAGTGGGATTATACATTTCTTTAAATCTAAAATATGCGGAAATAAATAATACTAGAATTGAAAAGTCGAAGTGATGAATAAGAATGAAATTTCAACTCTTGGTATCTTCTTCCTTGATATGCAGACCGGTGTCAGGCAAACAGTCAAGTCTAATAATTCGGTTCTTTTTCCTTACATCTATAAACTGTTTTATGTATCAGGATTAAATAAAGATTTTTTTTAATGCTTCTAATATATGAATGCTTACAAGAATTCTCTTTTGTCTTACCGATAGAACTTCAACGTATAAGATGACGAAGTGAAGAGTGAAGGACAGGGCCATGGAGCCAACGAGCCACATGTTCGACCATGGGGGCATAGATACCAGTGACTGGTTCTCCGATAAACTGTTCATGGCGTTCAACATCTCAATGGTGACAAGTACGGAGAGAGCCATGGTCATGGGGTGGGGGTCGGTGAAGATCTTGCAGTCGATTCCCTGGGAAGTGTAAGTAGTCATATTAATTGGGATGTTCCTTTAAAAGTAAGCGTTTTTTGTATTTTTTGTTTTTCTGTAATATAATAATTGTCTAAGTGTAGTATAACTTTTGCTTGGGGTTTTTTAAAGGGCTCTGAAATAAGTTATTATAATTGTGACGTGAACGCTCGATAGAAAGATTATTTTGTATGGTCTTATTGAACAAAATATTCATTCCATAAAGGGATTGATAAAAGTTTAACAAAATGTACATCCATTTTGTTAAGATACACTATTCCGTCTGTTCATTACGTACTTAATATGCAATTTTGCAAAATCATTATATAGTCATGGTAAATACCTTAAAGTCTTCTCCACCACCAAGGCACTGCAAGTGGTGAGTGAGTTGCCAGTAGCTCATCTGTGGTCCGAAGGGCGAGTACATGAACCACCAGGACGCGGCACCGACAGTCGCCATACCCACGTATCCACCAATAGCCATGTATCTGCATCGTATTAAAGTCAAATTAAAAAAAAGGAAATAAAAAACGAAAATAGTTTACTACTAAAATAAACACAAATTTTATGTTAAGCTTATTTAAATAATAAGAATTTACTTATAATGACATTGACAAGAAATATATAAAGCCAATAGCGAACCTGAAGAACAGCCATCCGGAGATCAGACCCTCATCAGCTTTCCTGGGTGGTTTGTCCATGATGTCCAAGTCAGGTGGGTTGAAACCGAGGGCGGTAGCGGGTAGACCGTCAGTGACCAAGTTGACCCATAGGAGTTGCACGGGGATAAGAGCTTCAGGGAGACCAAGAGCGGCTGTCAAGAAGATGGAGACGACCTCACCGATGTTGGAAGAGATCAAGTAACGGATGAATTGCTTCATGTTGTTGTAGATGGCACGACCTGGAATTAAAATATCTTTTAGAAGAGGAAATTCTTAAATAGACATTACAAAAAAGTTTTTGTAAGTCGTAGGCGATATTAATTACAACGTAAATCAATATTTATGTAATAATGACAATACTTGGGGTTTGAAGGAACCCGATCTAACAAGAAAAACAATATGAATAAATGAGTTTTTGATTTTGATATAAGTAATATGAGCAAGAACAGACCTTCCTCAACAGCAGCTACGATGGATGAGAAGTTGTCGTCAGCGAGCACCATCTCAGCAGCGGATTTGGCTACAGCGGTTCCTGAACCCATGGCGATACCAATTTCGGCCTTCTTCAGAGCGGGGGCGTCGTTCACACCGTCACCAGTCTACGCACATACAATAAGTATTTAACTTTATGGTCGTATTGGGTTATTCACAACTATAATAACACAGTATCGGATCCTTGTTATTAAACATAACCTAAGCGATAAGTTTACAGAAAATTTTGAATGTTTTTTTTTTATTCTAGTTGTTTTTTATTAATCGAAATAATAATAATAGTGTACTAACTATAAATCTCCATCTATTTGATATTCAATATTATGTTTATCAACAGAAGAACAAAGCTAATACAAACATTCGAATAACAAACTCAATGCAATTGTAAACATTAATAATACGTTTATGATGTTAATGGGAACGTAGAATATTAAAAAGGTTAAAAGTCATAAATTTAATTTGGCTATTTTAAATTTTATTTAAAAATGTTGATAGGTTGTTTGTGTTTTTAATTGACGAAAGCGAAGACACAAGAAAGCAAATTGTTTTTGTCAGAATGCGCGAGCTTTACTGTGAACAGATTTTAATCAACAAGACTTAAAAGTATTCCTAAAAATGGTGTTGTAATGTAGGTTTTATATAAATTAAAAAGCGATTAAATATTAAGACACGGCCGGGATTTGAGCTGGCATTTCCGTGTTGTTGCTATAACCAACAACACAACGACACGGTAGCTCAATTGATTCATCGTGTGATTAATGTTAAAGTTTTTGTATGGGCTATATTATGTATGAATTTAATACATGAGAGTTGAAAAAGAAAAAGTGATCGTACAGTGTGCCTTCAACATATTTAACTGCTGCGTTATATTTATTTAATAAACTCTCCTTGTAATGAACGAGTTTAAGAAACTAAGACAAAAAATAACTCTATCAACTAACCATAGCGGAGATTTCGTTCATGCTCTGCAAGAATTCAACGATCTTGGACTTGTGGGCGGGTTCTACACGGGAGAAGAGACGGGCCTTTGCGCAGGCGGCGCGCTGCTCGTGAAGGGGCAGGTCGTCGAACTCGCGACCGGAGTAGGATTTACCAGTGGTGTCCTCGTCTTCAGTGAACACACCGATACGTCTGAAATTAAATTTTCATTATCACCGTTATACTTTGTACTTATATATCAATAAGGTAGCAAATTTTGTATAAGGTAGGTTTTTGGAAACAAATGTGTGAAGTGGGAAATTACCTGCAGATAGCCTCAGCGGTGGCCTTGTTGTCACCAGTGATAACAATGACACGGATACCGGCGGCACGGCAACGGACGATCGAGTCGAAGACTTCTTTACGGGGAGGGTCCAACATACCCACGACACCGACGAAGGTGAGGTTGACTTCGTATGTGTAGAACTTGGTAGAGTCACCGAGGTCCATCTCTTCGGGTTTCATCGGGTTGTCGGCTGTAGCCAGAGCTAAGCAACGGAGGGTGTCGCGGCCGGTACCGTATTGACGAGTGAGGTCCAAAATGCGGCTCTTGAGGGTAGAGTTGAGGGCGACTTTGCTGGTTCCGACACGAGCGTGGGTACAACGTTCCAATACACCTTCGGGCGCACCCTTGACGAACAATTTGGGTCCGTTGCCGAGACGAGAGGGCTTAAGTGGGGAACAGTAGGTGGACATGGATTTCCTGTCACGGGAGAACTCGAGGGTGAATTCCTTCTTCCATTTGGTTTCAATTTCTTGGCGGACGACGATGGCAGACGAACGACGGTCGAGGCCAGTCTTGGGCACGTTGAAGGGGTTCATCTTCTCGGCGAGAACGATCAGAGCGGTCTCAGTGGCTTCACCGACCTTCTCGAAGGCCTGTTTGAACTCGTTGAAGTCGATAGCTGAGTCATTGCACATAACGCAGATTGTGCCCAGTTCATGAAGAGCGTCGAACTCGGCGGCCTTGACTTTCTGGCCTTTAAGGTAAACTTCACCGATTGGTTCGTAGGTGGATCCGGTGATCTCGAATTCGAGGAAGCTGCTGTCGCCGCCTTCGATCTTTTCAAATATGAACATACGGGAGACGGACATCTGGTTGGTGGTTAATGTACCGGTTTTGTCTGAGCAAATGACGGATGTGCAACCCAAGGTTTCTACAGATGGCAGAGACCTAACAATGGCGTTCTTCTTAGCCATCCTCCTCGTTCCGAGAGCGAGACAGGTGGTGATGACGGCGGGGAGACCTTCTGGAATGGCAGCGACGGCTAGAGCCACAGCAATTTTGAAGTAGTAGACGGCACCTTTGATCCAGCTGCCACCGTGGGCGGGGTCGTTGAAGTGACCGATGTTGATGGCCCATACGGCGACGCAGATGACGGAGATGACCTTAGACAGTTGTTCACCGAACTCGTCCAATTTCTGTTGCAGGGGTGTCTTGATTTCCTCAGTCTCGGACATTTCCGTCCTGATCTTACCGATGGCAGTGTTGAGACCGGTACCGATGACGATACCGCGGGCTTTACCTGCAGCAACATTGGTTCCGGAGAAGAGAATGTTCTTTTTGTCTTGGTTGACGGCGCGGGGGTCGGGGATCGGGTCTGTGTGCTTGATGACCGAAACGGATTCTCCAGTCAGGATGGACTGGTCGATACGGATGGTCGTCGAATAGATCTTGATGAGGCGGATATCGGCGGGGATTTTATCACCGACGGACACCTCCACGACGTCACCGGGTACGATCTCCTTGGCGCGAATTTTTTGCACGCCGGCTTTGTCGCCTCTGATTACCTTACCCATTTCGGGTTCGTATTCTTTTAAAGCTTCGATGGCGGATTCTGCATTTCTTTCCTGTATAATAAGCAGCGGGTTAAAATATATGTCATATACATGTCAATTTTAAATACAAAAGAACAGTTTTTACCTGCCATACTCCTACTACGGCGTTAGCGATAAGAATTAGTAAAATAACGAAAGGTTCTACGAATGCTGAGAAGGCATCTTCGTGTTCCTCAAATAAAGCTAATACCTGGAAGACAAAGTATCATACATTATAACAGATGATCAAGAGTACAATACGATCTTGAAACTGTACGAAATATACTCACAAAGGAAATAATAGCGGCTAACAGCAAAATCTTGACTAACAGATCATCAAATTGTTCCAATACTAACTGCCATATACTTTTGCCTAAGGAGCAGATAAAGTGTTATTAGGAATTAAACCAAATATATTTGTTTTAAGCGGCTTAAATGTAGCTTAGACAGATAAGGAGTTGTAGAATACAAATAATCACGTTTCCTTGATAAACGTTACTTTTTTTACAGCGCACATATCGCAAGTCCGTGACACACATAAATCGAGATGTCAATTTTAAAGTAAATCATTATCAGTGTTTCAGATAAGCAAAAATGTGTTGTCTATAAAACTGGGTACTGATCAGATGCTCGCGGTGTAATGTGATGTTACCCATCGAGCATTCCTGCAGATGAGTGTTCAGTTGGCGATTTTGGATGAATCTCTTAAGGGGTTGTCCATTATTCACGTGACCTTTTTTTAGAATTTTTAAACCCCCCTTCCCCCATTGGTGATACGTAGTGAGGTTTAAGACCACCCCCCTCCCCCTTCTCAACATCACGTGTATTTTTATTACCTACAAAGAATCTTAAAATTTTCTGAATATTATCTTAATATAAATACAGGTATAAACTATAATCTTATTTTATTCTGAAATTAAGGACCATAATAAAAATGTCTACACCATTTGTTTAAAATCGCCCGCTTTTACGAAAAAATAAATACACTAGATATCTTACTAACCCCCCCCCCGCCCTTGTGTTATTTTCGTGATTTTTATCAAACACCCCCCCCCCCTTTCAAGCCTCACGTGATTAATGGACAACCCCTAAGTGCTACAACTCAAGTAGGTATTACACGCCAATAAATTATTTCACGATAGAGAAGGATGACATCTTACTATAATGTGGTATTTTCGTGATTTTAACGCGATATAGCTTCACGGCTTTTTACCTGTGGGTGGTTGTTCGCGACCCGGACGGATTTTTTAATTCCCACCCCCCAAAAAAATTCCAAATTTTCCAGACGAACCCCCATGTTTCAGAAAAATTATAAATTGAATAATTTGAAATATGTTGAACCCGGTGGGGATCGAACCCACGGCGCATTGATTATGAACTATGCATTGCTACCTTTAGACCAACGTACAACTAGGTAATAACCGAATTGTGTTCGCATCTTATATCTGACTTGGTTTTTTTGAACAATCGTTCTCGATTACACTTTTAACATTTGGTCAGTACCCATCAAAATTAAAATTTTAGCGGCTTCTCCATGTACGCAAGAGAATATAGAATGTGTTTGGGTTATCATAAAAAACGAGCATTTTATTGCTTCAGCGAAGTACATCCCACGTATCCGTAACACTAAGTACTTAAAACAACGCAAGTATATTTGTTATTGTTACGCGCAAGATATTCGCAACTGCTTATAAAAATAGTTGACACTGTTGACTTTACCTTCCTCTGCAGGCAGTTCTGTAAAGAGAGAAAAAGAATTGTTAATAAAACTTCAAATGAAACATCAAAGAGGTTTTAACAGACGATAAACCAGTCAGAGCGAGCGATCAATCTCTCCAGTAACGGTGACGACGTTCATAGGTTCGATTTGTGGTTGGTGAAAATACGCGAATCGTGTATTGGGCAATGTAGGCTGTGACGTCACTGTTCCAGCCTTTGGACTTTGCACTTGTTTATTTTTAGACGCACAACTTGGAGCTAATTGCAAATGTCGGGTTGAATGAACTTGCCTATCTTATCGGTGTCTGATCTAGATTTTTAGTGATTAAATTATTAGTAAACAATGATTTGGAGAAAGCGGTCTGAAGTGTTTTTTATCTTTATCAAATTTTGACATTCCTATTTTTTTTGTTGTCTTATTAGTTGTGCTATTGTAATAATTACATTGTGCGTCTTACTATGACGTATGCGTCGTTAATACGTACGTTATTACGGAACAATAATTACGCATAAGGTGATAAGTATTATTGTGTAAAGTGTAAATAATTTTACGCTTTGTCTAAGAGGATTAGTCGGATTTAATGTGTACTATTGCGAAAAAATATGTGTTATTTTTTCAATTTGTATGCGAAAAGTCGATCTAATATGATAAGTAATAAATTTTGCATGTTAAGCTGTTTTTGTAAAGTTTTATGCGCATTAAATGTAACCTATGTAGGTTACATTTGACATAAGTACCGCAGTAATATCCAAACTATTGGATATTTAAAAAACATTTAAGGTAAAAGCGATATATTTTAAACTTATTTGAAAATGATTTTAACAATAAGTTAAGTACTAACTAATTAAATTTACTTATTAGTATAACAACTGAATAGCATTACTAAAACAAAACATAAAGCTAGCTGTGAATTTGTCTCAAATACAACTGCCAACACCAACAAAAAACACAACTTGATTTAACATAGATAGTATTTTGCATGGTAACCGGACGAACTGTGTACTGTATTTATTTATAATATTATAGACGTTACGGTACTTCAGCCTTATAAAGAACCGTTATATTACCGAACCGGAGGAAACATTTGGCTCGTCTTAATCTAATAACGCGAAACGTGCGCTAAATCAATCGACGTTGAAATGTCTATTTGCGTACGCGATCCGATTTGCTTTGAAAATGCGAGTCAGTCAAACAATTAGTCAACATGATAGATCAGAAACTAATGTGCCTGTTTATATAATCATAAATATACTAGTTCTTAGCTGTACGGGGTGGGAAAGCGGAAAAATACGAGCTTAACGACAGTAAGAATTACCAACGGATGGCGTATTGACACACATAATATATAACAGTTCACTTTGTGTTGATGTGACGTTCATTTTTTATTTATAAGGCTTATACATTAAGTTTAAAGTAGTATTTTTTGTTATATGAACGATTGGGAATGTATTATGTTAGGATAAACAAATTATTAGTCTATACTTATTGTTTGTATGTATATTCGTTGGTTTATGCGCTACACTATGAGTTCGATATCTGTCACATTGATTGGTAGATATTTGTAATTAAATAAATTCAAACAATCTAACGAGCTATCTTGTTCAAAATCATTCATGTTAAATATAGTATCATATAGTGGGTCATTAAAAATTTAATCATTTATATATCAGTGCATAAATTATTTTATAGTACGACCCGACGGATAATATACCTTGCATGGACGTCATGTATCAATAAGTTGAAAATTCGTCGATGAGGTGTGAGACTCTGTTTGTAGCTAAATTGGTTAGAGCAACAGCACGGAACGCCGACGATGCCGGTTCAAGTCCTGCCCGAGTCGATTTTTCAATTTATTTTCGATTTTAAATCTACTTATAAGTAGTTAATAACGAGCTTCCTCAAATATTTTGTTCCTAATTGTACAGTTTTGTCCGCTCAAGTGACCGCCACGCCACAAATCAAATAAGAATCGTATGGAAATAGTAATCAATATCAAAGATAAACATTACGTCAATACATCGCACGTGCTTCGACTGTTAATGCGAAACACGATACAACTAAGGTGAAACGAGACAGTGATAAGTCAAACCGGATTACTATTGCTCGTTCGTTTCTAAGGAGGTCAGTTTGTGGCGAGTTTTGGTACCATATTTATTTTATTTAACTTTTTTTACATAAATACATAGTTTTTTTTATTTAAATAAAACACTTTAATGGTATAAAGAGTTTTAACTAAATTATCGCGTTTTAAACCGTTAAAGTGTAGTAGTTTACTCGCGTAAACTACGGACAGTACATCGTTTTATCAAATAAAAAAAAAAGAAAATAAGAACCGGCTTCGGTACCTTAAGACACTGTACGTCTATAAAATCTTTTCAAAATATGGGTCCTGAATTGACAATTATAATAGGCTATTGTAAAGTCCCTCTGTGGAGCATGGGACCGTTTTACTAGATGCAAATAATTGATAAGACTTCTGTGCACCAACAATCTATTGTATACCCTGGACTCAAACGTGGAAACCTTGAACCTGAATACTTGCATTTAACCACTGAGCCAGAGAGACAGTGAACCTTTATATTTTAAATACTATAGTAGAAGAGATAAAGGTTATTTAATAAATAAAATATTGCGAGTTGAAATGTACGAACGGATCGCGCGTTTGAAATCGTAGACGCAAGCCGCCAACGTAACTCTGTCCAAAATAAACCAGCAACTGTGCCTGTCTATAAGATATTATTACAGTATCTAGGTACTTCACGAATACCGCAAATAGGCCGCTAGCACACTCGCAAAACATCGCAATTTACAGCGTCTTATACACTGTTAAAGTGACAATTAAAATACAACATTTTGCAAGCGTTTACGTTTGTGTATATATTTTATAATACAACTAGCAGACCCGGCCACGCGTTGCTGTGGCTGAAGTTATTGTTTTATTACATTGTGGTATACACTTTAAGAGGAACAGTAGGAGAACATCAGTCACGGAGACCCCATCATGCTTTTTACAGATGGATAGCAGTGCCATCTATTGAAATGTAGCTTATATGACACGTTTGTCGGTTTACCATAGCAGTGCCATCTATATCGATTACTTATTCGATCCATTGTAACTGTCAATTATATATAAACAAATAATTTGATTAGGATTCCATAGCGGACAAACATCGTGACAGGAGATTTATATATATAAAGATTTTAACTACTTTAAAACCATAATTATTTTTTTTGTTTAATTTACGGCTCAAGGATTCACGTTTTAAACTGTTAAATGATTTTAAACGTTTACTATTCGCGTAAAATACAGACACACAATACATAGAATTATTTATCGTCAAGCAATTAATAATTATTTAATTCCTATAAAACTTTAAATATTTAAGTTCCGAATATTAAAAGTCCAGTGTGCTGCCGGCCTTATCTGGTCAGAAACAGGCGCCCCATTCTAGTATCGCCTCATCCTAGTCGTTGAATAACTACCGAATGCACTATTCTATTATTGTTTCTCGATATGAAACAACCTTTGAGTATCGGATAAATTGATATACAGTATGATGCTAGAATACTGTTTAATATGGAAAAGATGCAACAAAAATTGAAACATTTTTTGACTGCAGATGACGAACAAGCCTTCGTGTTTACGTATTGAAACTGGAAGGTCAAAGTAATTAAACATCCAGTAAACATGCCGCTGTTGTCCTATTTTAGCTCTGGCCATCATTACTACTATAGTAAATAAAAAAAATTTACAAGATTTGTCGGTAAAATTACAGTTCTTAAAACCCGTACTTTTTTTACTTGAATATGCCTTTGTTGTTTATCGTATATTTTCAAACATCCTGTATAATCCATAGACGATTAATGAGTACACGCTATGCCAGATTTACACATAAAGTTCAGCCGTTCATTCGACTACATGCGATTGAGTCATTTTCCTACTCGTTAAAACCATTTTAGCATTGTACCGAGGCGCATGGAGGTTTAATGAAATAATCAAAGTTTCACGAGTTATTAGTTTATTGCGTTACGATGAAAACATACTGAATTCTGAAACATACGACTCGGTGTTTGAAACTGGGAAACACGTATATGGGGAATATGCTTGGATAAATATCCAATCTTATGTATAACACTTATTGCTTTTAATTTAATGTATAAGTAAAGTTGTTATAAGTCAGTGTCGCGTTGGATTACATTCCTTAAATAAATAATTTAAATACTAAAGTCAAACAATTTTTAATACAAATGAAATAAGCGGTCCAATGGTAAGTAACTAGGTCAACTTTTAGACTACTTTATTAGATTAAGTTTGGAGGGAACTAAAGTAGTGACATCCGCTAAATTAAGGGACACTAACAGTGACTGCTTGATGTAGTGGTTAGTAATGTCAAAAATATATTAAAATACAAACTAATTTACCAAATACATTTCGCGTTTTAAACAGTTTAAACTGTTTTATTTAAGTATGTACTACACGCGTAAACTACATACAGTAACTATTCATATATCAGCTCGGAGTTTGGCAGTAGGTATTAATTCCTAGCTCAAGTTAAGCAGTCGGTCCAAAAACCACTCTGAAGGAGAAGTGGTGAAGGACCCTTCAGTAGTGAAATGCCAATGCTAGACAACGTTAAACAACCATTTGGCGTTATATTGAAACGAACAATAACCGGCAACTGAGCTGATTAATTAAAAATCGTAATTCTCCAATCAAACAGGAGATATGATTGTTATTTCAGGTACGTATCAGCCGGGCAAGTACATCACCCGCTGTAATATTTATAAATATTTTAATTAATTTATAGCGCGCGTTGTTTTGAGCTGCAAATAAATTTTAGTACAAAGGCATTATAAGAGCTTCTACAGCGATATAAGAACACATGGCTTTAATATACTACACATCAAACGCTCCCGGTACGCGGTTGAGAAATTAACCTCACATTATATAAAAAAGCGGCCAAGTGCGAGCCGGAATCGTACACCGAAGGGTTCTGTACAGAATAAATAAGTGATT